ATGAGTACACTGCGCCCCTTGCAGGAGATGGGAAAAGCTTGTTGCTAGCAGGCGCGGCTGTGACACCACCTGACCTCCAATCAAGGCGCAAGAAAGTAGCCTCCACCAATGGATGGTAAAAAAGAGTTGACAGAGCGACTTTGGGAAGGGCCAGGGTTAGTGATGTAACCACAGGGGTAGAAAAGGCGGAGCAGCCACTGTGTAAACAAGCACATGGCACTTTGATTCCATGCTTTCACTGGTGCAATTTTTCTTTATTCAGTCTTGTTGTATTTTATAATAAACCTCTGAAATTTTAAAAGTGAGCATCCTTTTTTGTGAGGTAGTGTTTTCTTCTAGTTACTCAAAATTATTCATATTCAGTAACTACTCCAGCAGCAAATAAACCCACAAGCTCCTCCGAGACAAATCAAAATAGGACAGAACCTCCATGGAAAATATACCCGTTTTCTAGGAACTGCACAGAAAAATGTCTCCATGTTCTCTTCACTTAAAAGCCTGGGTAAATCCAGGCTCATAATCATGATACCCAAGAATTTACTGCCAGAGTGAACACATCAAACTCCAACACACAGGGACTCAAGGACACAAACTGCACACACATCCCTCACACCCATGCTTGAACCATCTTCCTGCTGTAATATATGTTAGAAATAATTGATGCTATAAAAGGATGTATTTTATAAAGATTGCAAAATCCAAACGAGTCTCAGACCACAAGCAGCCAGAGAGGCGGACGTCTATTCAAATTCTGAAGTTCCTGAAGGTGGCAGGAGAACAATCGGCAGTTAGCTCATGAATAGACGCACCCAGTGATGATCACTGTTATCCCGAGCCATCGGAAGACACCTAAGAGCGATCATCGATCATTGCCCTGTTGATAACATCGATCAAGATAGCCAAAGTCGCCAGAAAGATGCATGTGAATACGCGACTTCTTGGATTTGATCAATGCTGGCTGTCGACCAGGAAATGGCGATTGTCCAGCTCTGCACAGTGAAAGAACCAACTATGAAAAGTTACAAAAGAAACTTGGACTCCTTTGCCTCAGGCATAATAAACTGTATAAACTATCCCCGCAAGAAGCGGCTCTCATGAACAAGGGGGGTCCGATGCGATAGAGGTGAGATCCAGGTTCACCGAGCGCCGATCCGAGGCTTGATGCTGTCTCTTTGGCTGTGGTGGTTTTGAGGATCGTATTTTGGTGACAGAAAAAGATAAATCTTTTTGCATTTTTGATAATTTGGCTTTCGATTGATCATTTATAACACTGCTGAGCTGAGGACAAGAAGCGACCAGAATAGCCCGGGCACTCCAGCTTCACTGCAAGGCATCCGGCAGTCTTGAAGGTACAAAGCGAGCACAGGTCGGAGCTCCTCGTGTCTGGAGCGAGGCCGGAGGAGCCCCCACCGTGGAGCTGACACGGCCCCGGCCCAGCCCCGCTGCGCTCCAAGCACGGCCCCGGAGCGGCCCAGCCGAGGCGGTGAGGGACGGGCGGTGAGGGGCCGGGGGATGGGGCACTCCGGGAATGGGCGGACATCCCGGCAGAGGGGAGAGAGACCTGGCAGAGGGAGGAGTGAGCAGGAGAGCGGAGAGGTGCTGGGAGGAGGGGGAAAATCCCAAGAGAGGGGGACGAGCCTGGGAGTAGGGGAGATCACAGGAGAGGGGGGGTGAGATCCCTGGGAAAGGGTGGGTTGCCTTCCAAGAGGGTAGAGCCGGAGAAAGAGGAGAGAGCCTTGGGAGAAGGGGTAGATCCTGGAAGAGGGAGGAGTAATTGGGAGAAGGGCAGATCCAGGGAGACGAATAAAAGCACTGGCTACAGCCTGGGAGCGGGAGGAGCTTGGGACAAGGGGTAGCTCGGGACTGGGGAAAACCCGAGAGAGGAGGGAGAAACCAGGAGACGGGGGAGAACCTGAGAACAGGGGGGAGATCTGGAGTAGAGTGGAGAGGGCCTGGGAAAGAGGGGAAAGATGTGGGAGAAGAGAGCCCAGCGGCGGGAGTTCGGGAGCGGAGGCTCCTGCAGGCAGACCGGGAAGCCGGAGAGCCCGGAATCAGGGAGTCCTGCAGCCGGGCCGAGAATGGGCGCGGGTCAGTGCGGTTCAGGAGAGCGCGGCTGCGGGGCTGGCTCCGGAGCCGCAGGCGCGTGGAAAGCGCTGCTCGGCAGCCCCGGCGGCGCTGAGAGCACAGCCCTGCCCGGGGAGGCAGCGCCACGGGCGCCGCTCGGCTTCCCAGCGAGGCCTCGGCACCGCTCGCCTTCGCCGCCGTATCCGCGGCAGCTCGGAGCATCGGTCCCTGCCCGGGCCCGAGGCTCACCTGCGCCAGGTGCACCAGAGCATCGCCTCTGCCTTGACAAGCCACAAGGAGCAGTGCCGGGCAGGGACTGCAGATCCCCATTGGTGGCAGAGAAAAAAGAGCAAGGAATCTTCTGTGGGAGAATATAGGCAATAGGATGAGGTGTCACTGTCAAATGTGTTCAGGTGCACTCACAAGGATACTATTGCTCTTGGCTCAGAACATGGAAAAGAAGTGGGCAGACACAAATCACAAGCTGGTTGCAATATCCAGGGATCAGTTATCAGAATAAAATGCTATGCAACTGCTGGAATGCTTAATGGATGACTAATTACCCCTTGCTAAGTCATCTGGGCTTGTTAGGGGCAGCATACTTATCTCTCAAAAATTACTCTAGAGCTATGATTAAGAAAAATTTTGAAGAAAGGCTCATAGACCCACATTTTAATGCAGTTGCTGTGGGTTTGATAAATGAAATCTGCTTTAATGTCTTGATTTTCCTAAAGGTTTGTGGGGTTTTTTTCACACACGCATGCATGCTAAATTTGAGACTCTAAGGTAAGGTCTTTTCATAGGGGATATGGAAGAGACAGGTCTTCAGTCAGCAATATGTCAGTGAGAGACAGCTGAGCGATGATTACTGAGAAGAACAGCCCTGCAATAGAGGTGTGAGCCCTGGCTGATACTCAGTAGAACCACCTTAGGCAGGATCAGTAACAAGCTTTTGAAGAGTGAAGGGCCTAATCCTTTGGTGTGGTACTGTATGGACTTTGGGATCACTACACCATTGCAAATAGGTTCCCTTTCCAGCAGAAGAGACTTCCATCTGCTGCCTCTGCCGAGACACTGGGAGGGACAGAGTGAGCAAGGCTCAATCAGCTCGCATGGTAATTTGCACAGAGGGGCTGCAACAACACGAGAAGCCAAAAGCAAACAAACTCATAGCCTGATTCCAGAACTGCTCAAGTATCTGTGTCCTTGCTGGCAAGACAAGAAGGTGCTTCAGGCCTTAAAGGCAGCTTCATCCTTTGCAGGACCAGCCCAAAATATCAAGATCTACAATAGAAAGATGGGGGGAGGGGGGTTTGGGTTTTTTTTATGCTCACTGGGTGGGAAATGCTTCAGTTGCGGTTTTGAAGGGCTTGCCTGGGTTGTCATACTAAAATGCAGGAGAAAAAAAAAAAAAGCTGTGCTTTTGCTTAATGAAGCCACATTGTATCTGTCTTTCAGAAAGGAATAAAGAAAACACAGATTGCCTACTGAAATTATTCTCCTCCCTTCCAAATCAGTTCACTCCTCAAACACAAGCCTGAGGCACATCCCCGACTGCCTCTCTCCCAGCAGCTCAGAGCTGCATTGCACAGCGCTTGCTGTGTGCCAGAGAGCACAAAGCAGGCTGGCCTGGTGGGCCTGAATATTTCTGCCAAACACTCTGCATCTCACACCTTTGCTCTGGCTGAGTGCAGAACTGCAGGATTGCAGGTGCTTCCTGCCAGAGCTGCGTGAGGCGCTGGCTCCTGCAGACGTGCCCTGCCAAGCTGTCCCTGCCTCACGCTGGCCTCGCTTGCCCTGACAGAAGTGCCGGGCCTGAAGGAGGCTGCCCTGTGCTCCAGCCTGCCGAGCAGCCCGGCTCCCTGCCCCCGTGCCCAGAGTGCTGCACACACTGCTGACCTTGGCCAGGAGTTGCAGGGCAGCCGGCAGAAGAGGAGGAATCCTCAGCCAGCCCAGCGGCCCTCGGCTGCCCTTGGCCTTTCTCTGCTCCTGGGCACACTCCAGACGGCCAATGCCTCCAGGCTGGGCTGTGCCCAGCACGGCTGCGCTTCCCCTCGGCAGCAGCCAGCTGCCACCTGGGCTCTGAGAGCGCAGGATTCGCCCGCTCCCAGGAACAGGCACCCAGGGCCCGGCTGCTGCCTCTGGCAGCTCCAAGGGCCTCCTTCCAGCCTGCCTCTGCCGGGGCTCAGCCTGCTCCCGCCTCTGCCTGGGCTCTGCTGGGGCTCCAGCCTGGGCAAGGCCGGGCCCGCTCTCACCTCACAGGCTCTCACAGCTCTGCACCTCAGGAGACCTTGCCGAGCACCCTCTCTGATCTTTCTGCTTTCTCACTTGAGCAAGGCTCTCCTCCAGACAAAGACATTGCACCTAGGGATCCAAATCCAAGTGGCAGGAACCCCAATGCTCTCCAGTCACAGCTGAACGCCTGCATCTGCACAAGATGTTTGGCCTGCCTCATTCCTCCTTTGCTTTTGCCTTCAAATGCCATTGCCCTTTCTGCCTCAAATAGAAGTACCAAAGCTGGCCAAAAACAGACCAGCGCGCCATATTCCAAAGGCAGTGTGGTCTGGAGAGGATGAATGGAGAAGATCCTTCCCCACTCTCACACCATGCCAAAGACACTGTGTCACTTTCCACCTTTAAGAAACAACAGACAATTCAGATGGAATTCTCGAGTTTATTTGCAGAGTGAGAAGGAAGGGAATCTTCAAGGCAAGTTGTGGTTTCAGAAACTTTATTAATTTCCAATCCTACTCTGCAGTCCTATTACACAATCCTACTCTAACCCTAACCTTAATCCTAATCCTAATCCTAATCCCAGTCCTAGTCCTAATCCTAATCCTAATCCTAATCCTAATCCTAATCCTAATCCTAATCCTATTCCTAACCTACAGTCCTACTCTAAGAAGGTTGAGGAATAAATGATCCTGATGTGATTGTCACATTCTTGTCTCCTTCCTCTTCTTCACTGAAACAATCAGTGGCACCAGGCTGGACGCAGGCTCAGCAAATCTTACAAATGGATGCTGCCCAAAGGGAAAGAAACCAAATCAACAAAAACCAAGGAACCATGACTTTCCAAGCTCAGTGCTTCACAGGATTCCTCTGGCTTCTAGAAGGATGCGGGAAGAGGACCAATGGGACCATCTACAGCTCCATCTTTATGTGCAGGACTTTGCCATCACAGGCAAACCTGGCCCAGAATCCCACTCATCCATTTATCCAGGTGTCTTCATCTTGCTGAGATTTTTGCCCTGCCAGTGCTGTAGAAATGGTGCTTTCTGTCCTTGGAGTTTCTTCTTTTCAGGAAACTCCAATGACTCATATAGGTCCCTGTCTTTGCAAGACAGGCACTGTGCTGATTCCCACAGGGAGACAGAGCAGTGTCTGCCTTTCCATGCCCTGCCCCTCGTGTGCTGGATGGCACCCTCCTTCCCAGCAGGGCCAGCCCAGTGGCACTGGGCCCTGCAGTTCCCTCTCTGCCACACAACCTGGCAGTAACCCTGGCACAGTTCCCATCTGCTTGAGCGTGCCAGGCAGCAGATGGGGCTGGGACAAGTCCCTCCCAGCTGTCCCTGTTTGTGTGCCAGAAACCTCTAAGGGTGGGCTGGGGGGTACAAACCAGGGCCCCTCCGAGGCTCCCAGTGAGCCCCCCAAAGCCCCTCCTGCCCACAGCCAAATCTCTGACTGCTCAGCTGGGACTGGCTTCCTTGGGTTCCTCCACCACCATTTCATGTCTCTGTACCCTGCATTGCTCTACTTCAATTCTTTTGCTGTTAGATAAAATTGAACACCCCACCAAATTACAAAAGAGGGCGACAGAAACAGAAAACAGAGCAGCTCTCCTCTCAGGAAATGAGGAGAGAGGTGGAGTTATTCAGTTTTGTGAAGAACAGGCCCGAAGGAGATTTTACTGTTGCTTTTCAAGACTTCAGAGTGGTTTTGAAGAAAGTGGGGGACATCTTTTTTAACAGGGCCAGCTACAATAGGATGTGGGTGAATATTTTTAAACAAAATGGGGATCAAGTCAGAGTAGGTCTAAGAACTTGTTTACTCGGAGCATGGTGCAACCCTGGCACAGCTTGGCCCAAGAGCTTGTAGGTGCCCCATCCCTGGAGCCATTCCAGGTCAAGTGGCAAAGGGCTCTGAGCAACCTGATTTCTTTAAAGATGTCCCTGCTCATTGCAGGACACTTGCACCACAGGACCTTTTACAGGGCCTTGCCAGCCCAGCCCAGTCTAGGATTCCTCACCATTTTCATTTGAAGAGCACCAAGAGTGGAGGTGAGGAGGAAGGGGGCTCATCTGATGCCTTGAACTTGAGTGGAGGAGGAGCCCATCCCTCAGAGCCTGTTTCACCTGCAGCCCCTTCACATTTTACCTGCAGGAGCTCCTTGGCAGACCAGCGCTGCTCCTCATCTGTCTGCAGGCAGCAGCTCAGGAAGTCACGCAGCAAAGCTGAGAGGAGCTTGGGCTGCCGCAGTTTTGGGGTCCCTACTGTGGCTATCAGGCGTCGAGCCTGGAGAAAAAAAAAAACCACGAGGCTCCACCTGCTGCTTTCACATCTCTAAGGCTCTCCCAGATCCCTTTGTTTAACCTCTGTTCTTCAGTGGCAGTTTCTGCCCTTGCAAAGACCCAGAGATGACTTTCCTTTACCAACCAAAAACCCAAACCCCGATGCAGCCACAGCTTTTCCACCATCCCGCAGATCTTGCCTTGGCAGCTGATTTGATTGACTGACCTAGTTAGTGGGAACTACATCAACAAATGCACATTTGCTTCTCTGAGGATTCACACCAGCTTGAGAGGCTTTTTGGAAGCTGTGCTATACAAACTAATTTCAAGGGTTAGTACATGAAAGGCATCTCTGCAGTGCTTGTTGGTCCTTTAAGCACACATGCCATAGAACAAAACTCATCAAGCTTTTTGTGCTGTTCTTGAAAACAATGGGACTTGGAAGGAAAGAAAGGAAATCCATCAGTTAATCCCCAGAGAAGGAAACAAACATTTACAATCTCATCTTCAACACAGACACATTAAGATGCCTGCACAAATGTATTGGGATGAAAATGCCTGCTTGGCCACACAGGAGCCACCTGCAGCTCTGTCTCTCAGCAGTCTGAAAATTTCAGCTTCCCTCCCATTTTGCAGCAAAAGAAAAACTATCAGGGTCAGAGGAGGAGAGGTGCCATCCCTGTGGTCACCCTCTGCTCATTTGGCTACTCAAGTCAATACATTAATGGTAGGCCCATCCCAGAAAGTGCCAGGAAACAAACAGGAGCTTTTGGCTGGCTCTCCACATCACCAGGCTCTGGCTTGGTGATGCAGAGAACGGGCCTTGGGCTAGGAGAGAAACACGGTCACTAAATGCAGTGCAGCAGCACTGCACAAGAAGCAGAAAAGACTCTGTGGCCTTTACACCCTCATGCCCAGGTTTCAGGCATGTTTCCCAGTGAGAAGAAACTGCAGAGGGGGTTAGGTTCCTCTCTAAAGACCACAGTTTTAGAAACTTTGTTGGGTTTGGGTTTCCTTCCTTCATTTATGGAAAGATAACAGCAGTTCTAAGGTGCTTGTTTCCTGTTACTGGGGCCATCTCCACAGACAAAAGAACTGGAACCACTAATAACCCAAGGGAAAGTGTTGCCTGAGAATGGAGTTTGTTTGCATATGGTAAGGCTTGAGTTCGACCACTGATGTATCCAAATCTACAGCAGATGCTGATGTGTTGCAGGGACATTTTTAGGAGGGAAAGTAGTGGAATAGAGGGAAACTTGATGGAAGTAGTTCCAGCAGATGGCGATGGGATTTTGTCCAATGGCACACAGGACATGGGACAGGCGAGAAAGGCAGTGGGATGAGTGAGTATTTGCTCCTTACCGAGGTATGACTTTGGTCCCAGTAAGGAGGTTCTTTTTCTAACATTTCAATCCCCACAATTCCAAAAGACCATACATCCACTTTGGGGCCATATGGTTGACCTGTCACCACTTCAGGTGCCATCCACCAAGGAGTCCCGGCTACCAAGCACGGTCTGCTCTGCTCAGGGGTGAGCTGAGTAGAGAGGCCAAAATCAGCTGAGGAGAAAGCAAAATACTGGTTTTATTTCAATTCTGTGCAATTAGGAAAACGTACAAAAGAATTCCCCAGTAGAAGTTTGAAAATGTGCTGTTGAATCTCCTGGCATTGGCGACTTAAAAAATTCCCCCATTTTTTACACTGCCTCCAGCAGTGGCTTTTGTTCTTTGGAAACTTTAGACTTGTAGCTCCCTCCCTCTGGAAGGGACACACACAGAGCAAGGCCACCCTTGACTGCTTGTTCCTTGTCCTACCTCTGTGCACGTTGCAACTGTGCCCTCAGCTCACAGCGGGTGTCCCTGCGCTGCCACCAGCACCATTTTTGGGGAGCTGGCAGTCACGCAAAGCAGCCCCACACCCACATCCCTGGAATGCTGCACATAACCAAGAATATACTGACTCAGCTTGACAGAACCGTCAGTTCTGAGAAGGATGTTGTCGCTCTTCACATCTCGGTGGATCACATCGTTTGAATGAAGAAAATCCAGTCCTTGCAGGCACTGAGAGAGAATACAGAAAGAGAAGGGAAAAATGAGTGATGGGATTTCATCACACAAGAAAGGAAACAAAGAATCTAAAAGATTCCCTCTCCAGGGGAATGGGGAGTAATGGCAGAACAGTAATGGCCACTGAGAGGAAGAGCTTGCTGCTCCAACACTTGCAGAGCAGGTCCTTTCTGAGGAAAGGCACGTCAGCTTTTGAAAGAGCAACAGCACCTGCTGTTGTAGGCTGTCCCCTGCAAACCAGCCAGAATGACTGCTGCTGCAGTGCATGTGCTCAGAAGCAAAGAGCATTTGGGCTGCACTCCTATCCTTTTTAGCTGAGGACTGAGAGAAATGAGTCTCTCTTTTTTCTTTGCTGTTTGTTTCAAATCCTGCCACCAGCACCTTTGCTTTTACAGGCAAGGAATGCAGTGAAGATAGGCAAAAGTTTAGCGAGGCAAGATGGAGAACAGCAAATACAAGAGGCAGAGCGAGAGTACAACAGCAGGAGATAAGAGTACTGGCACTGAGTACAGGGAGTGCAGGGGCACTGGCAGGCCTTTCACTTCAGGTGCTTTTACTTGCCCATAGCATACCAGCCACACAGAAACAAAGCTTGGAACAGGAAATCACTCCTGTTCTGAGCCCCTGTTCCCAGACAATCCTGCCCAAGCCCTCAGAAGCACAGATGGGATTGCTGACCTCCCGACTGATGGCTGCAATGTGGTCTTCAGACAGGCAGGTCTTGTGGATGACATCACTGAGGGCGCCTCCATCCATGTACTCCATAACCAGCCAGAGTTCCTCACCCAGAAGGTAGCTGAAAGAAGGAAACAAGGGCATGGAGATAAACATGCATGGCTAGCTTGACTTTTTGCCTCCAGGTTTCTTGTTTCCAGGTGCCTTTGTGACTAAGACAGAATCAAAGGTATAGACAATCTGCAGTCTGTGCAGTTCTGGAGGAGAAAGACACAGCTGTGAAAAAGAAATCTTAGATGGCCAGCAAGTGAAAAATGCAGTTTAGTAACAGCCCAGGTAAAAACCTGTCAGGCATGGTGTTTCTGGAAATAAGCACCTCGTCTTCCTGGCATGCACAGCAATGGCACAGCAATGGCAAAGAGGGGCAACAATCTAAGGGAAATCCACTTTAGGATGGTCCATCAGCATTTAAGAAACTTGAAAAAATCAATCCTGAAAAAATGTGGAGGCAGTGTACTTTGAGGCTATTGACTTAGGAAGATACAGTTGATCCAGGTTTTGAATAAGTTTGGAATAATTTTCAAACGATGAGTGGCAGGGAAAACTCATGCAGACAAGATGCACTCTCTTCTCATCCATTGGAGATGAGTAGAGAAATATGAATAAATAAAAATTAACAGCTCTACTTTCTGCCACTAATCAAAGTGGGGTTTTAACCTCTCATGTTTGCTGTATGTAAATGCCCATTGATGGGACAAGACCATGACCTCTCACCTGTCTAAATAATTCACAACACTGGAACTCCTATACCTCTTCATGATCACGATTTCATTAACAGTTAGTTCCTTCCTCCCCAGTCCTTGGAGATTTATTTTCTTTATGGCCACCTAAAATGACATTGAAAATCAGTAACTCGAGAAGTTGGTGGCACGAGACCACAACGCACATGGAGCAAGTGATTTTGCAATGACACAGCTGAGCTGTGCCAAACTGCCTTGTGATGAGGCACTGCAGTCATGAGGAACTGACATTCCAACAGCCCATTTCTCTGCTCCCTGGGGGCCAGTTACAGCACACGTGGGGCCACTGACATTTTGCCTTGACCACTTGGTAACAGTGGTGTCTCAGCTATCACCCACAAACCTCTGACCACACTCTCTGCTGCTTTGGATGGGATTCAGAAGAAGTAATCCATGCCTTAATACTCTGTGGATACATCTTGGCCTATGGGCAGGGCTTTTAGGGCACCTTACAGATCTCTCCCTATGTGCAGTTCCCAAGTGCTGCACTGCAGGTGGCTAAGGAACTACCAGGAACTTTCAGATGTATTTGCTGGCAGCCAGAAATGAGAATTCAGGACTCTGAAGCTGTAGCCCCAAAGAGCAGTGAGGTGCTCGAAGGCACCACCTTTGTTTTAGCAATGGAGAGCGAGTGAGCGCGTCCTTCTCTGAAAGGAACCGCTGCCCTCTGTGCCTTCCTTCCGGCAGCTGAGGAGGACAAAGTCCCAAATGTATTTTGCAGGCTGGCACCAGTCTGTGCTTCTTGTGCCTTTTCAGCACAGCTCTACTCAAAGCTCCAGCCACAGCTCACACCAGAGGGGAAAGCCCCTCAAGAGCAGCAGAGTTTGCAGGGCCTGTTGACATTTACCTCTCCTCCTGTGGCACTGTTGAGTGCTCTGACCACATGTCCAAAACCCCTAGAAACAAAACAGAAGCAGAGAAAGGAGAAGCTGTTTAGCTCCTAGAGTGAAAGCCAGCCCACACAGGAGATCTCTGCTGGAAGTGTCAAAACCTGCAGAGGATGCAGGAGGGCTCTGCCAGAAGGCAGATGATGCACTTTCCTCCCAAGTGCATGGGCACTGGGCCTGTTCCTGAAGCACTGGGGTTCAACTTCTAAAGGGAGTTTAGTCTTTCCTCTTGGGTTTCACTTTCTAAACTGTGTGGTTCCTATCCTGACCACAGAGACTTTCCTTCTGCAAACCAGGGGAAAGAAATGTTCCTGGCAACTGTTATCTTAAAGCTTTGATGGGGGTAGGTTGCTCTTTCAGGCAAGCAAGTTTCTTCTTTTATCATTAGTGTGCCAGTATGATTTTGAGACATCCAAAAATGCTAAAGAAATTAACACAGAGCTGTCCCACACTTGAGAGACAAGGAGATCTTCCAGGTCCTGTTCCTTGATGGAGGCAAGACCTTGGCAACATGGAGATGTCGCTAACAATGCCTTCTGAGCACACTCACAAATTCTGAGAAGCACTGAGAGATGGGACAATCTATCCCCAGTGTGTGAACATCTTTGCAGCTTGCCTGACTTCACGCTGGATAGACATTCCACCAGAAAAACACCTGGCCCATGGTTGTGCAGGAGTAACTGCGGTTGGACTCACCCGCTGCCAATATGTTCCAGTTCAGTGTATTTCATCATGGGATTTTCCTGGTTGACCATTCTCCCTAAGGGAAATAAAATGCAGGATGCTAACTTGAAAGCAGAGATCCCAGCTTTCAGGAGATATAAAAGGCAGCCCCACTCTCTGGGGCTCTGAGCCCATTGGAGTTTGCTGGGTAACAACAACAATCACAACAGCAACAGGACAGGCAGCCCTGCAGCACAAATGGCTGGCACAGAGACTGATTTTGTACAGTCCTTTGAAGAGTTCTCTTGACAGGAAAGAAAGCACAGGGAGATGCATTTCCAGGAGAGAAGGAAATCTTCTCCACCTTTCAGCAATTTGCCAAAAGAATTCCTTCCCATTTGTAAACCAGAGCAGCTCATGCTATAATCGATTCCGACAGGACTTTCAGCATCAGGACCCTCACCTGTTTATGAGCAGGCTGAGGTCAAAGATGCCCCTCTCCCAGCTAAGGAAGGCTCCAGCCTCTGCAGTCCCTCCAGCCCTCAGGGACAGGGCAGCCAGCACAACAAGGCTGGCAAAGCCCAAGCATGAGCACTGACAGGCACTGATGGGAAGAAGCCAGAGTGAGCCTGAGCCCCTTACAAGCTGTTGCCCCCATTCAGGACACAACAGGATGGGCTTTGAGATCAGCCCCACCAAGGCGTGGATCAATGCCCTTTTGGTCCCAACAGGTGATGGTAGACACAGAATCCACCGGGCTCTGGTCTCAGCCCCACCAGGTCTTATCTGAGAGCACAGCACTGGCAGCTGTTCCGGGCAAGAAGCAGATTCATTGGGTTGTGCTGCAGAATCACAAAGGACTTGATATGTTTTCCTAGGGACTGATGTGAGTAGGGCTTGGGCCAATGGCTAGGATTCTAACAGTCATGGGAAAGAGTGGGAATCAGGTATGGAAAAATACCCATGGATCTAAAGAATATACCATGGCTGGGCTGGAGGCTCTCTCCTGAGAAATGCCTGCAGTACAGTTTTATCTGATCATGCCACTTGGATGTGTCTCTTGGACACATCTTGATAAGCGTAAAACTAGAAGATTAAATAAAAGTTGTTCTCAAAGTATTGCTTTTTTCTTTGGGGGCACATGGAAAACACCTCGTGCTCTCTATTTGTCCTGTAACCTGATGTTCTTTCAAAGTAGTTCTCTTTGACAAAAAGATAGCATTCTCATGAAAATATAATGCAGATGCAGTAGTGGTAACAGTAACAGTCATAAAAATGCCATCAGTAAGATGTGGGGCAGAAGGGCTCTTTCAGGATGGAGAAAAACCAACTCCACCAAAAAAACCCCACAAACCATCAACCAAAAAAACCCAAAACACAACAAAAAACCCCACAGAAACAAAAAACCAAAAGGCCCCTACAAAAAATAAACACAAAAACACCCCCCCCCCCCCAAAAAAAAAAAATCCCCAACCAAAAAGACAAAACTCCAAAAGCAGTCCATTTCTGTGAAGTGTTTTTGCTCTGATGACTGGTTGGAAGTCAGGAGTCTAAGGAGAATTTAGGAAGCTAAAAATTCTGTTTAGTGTGGCCACTAGCACACAGGATTTGCCTAGATCATTTGCTAGGTCACAGCCTTCTGCTGATCCAAGAACAATCCTTGCTTCAGCCTTTAGTGGAGAGGGAAGCTCAGGCAAACCCAAGCCAGTCCAAGGTGCCCTCAGAGGCAGCAGGAACACCCAGAGCGCTCTCTCGCTGCCTCGGAGCACAGCACTTCCTCTGGGGAGTCCTAAATGGCCCTGTGACACCAAACTCAGGAAGAGCATCTGGTATAGCTCTGCTGACACCTGCACACAACACACTGTCCCTCAGACAAGAAATCCCCCAGACATACCCAGCATCTCCAGGTACTTCTCCTCAGTCTCCTGTTCCAGGGAGATGAAGGAACTGCCCCAGCTTGAGCTTCCAGGTTTGACAGAAAGGCTTCCTTGAGATGATGCTGCTGCGGCAGCAGGTTCAGAGCCCAGGATGTGCTGCACTTGGAGCATTTCTGGTGGGCACTGTTCCTGTGCCTCACTCCAAACTTGGGGCTCTTCATTGCCAGACATTTGCTGGAAGTCTTCGCAGGCTGCCCGGTGAGACGTCAACACTTGCACCTCAAGTCAAACAGAACAAAGCAGTCAGAGACTCCAGCTTGTCCCTGTCAGCCAGGAGTCATCAACTGTGAGGAAAGGCAAAGAACAGACTGACAAGGGATATAGACAGCTTGTTCCAATCCTCCAGCTGGGTCACCACATTCCACTGTAAAAACACCTCAAGAAACAAGGAGAGCAGGAACAGGCCAGCAGGAATCAACTTGGATGACTGCTGGCCAAAAGGCCAAAGGACAAGTTTCACTGTCCAGGGCAGCAGTTGAGATTCAGCACACCAGGAAATGTCCTTCAAAGTGACTGTGATACACACTACAGCAGGATCAGAGGCATCACCCCACTCCCTGCTGCTCTGAGTGGAAAGGCAAGAAGGGCAGAAACCACCCGCTTGGTGACTGCAGTGACTGCATCCCTCTTTCACTCACTTCTAGAGCCTGAGGGAGGCGATAAAGTTTCTCTCTGATGATTTTCATTTCTTCCTCCAGCCTCTTCTCCCTTACCTTGTTGCTAGCCTCAGAGTCCTGCAGCTCTGCCTGCACGTGTCCCTTGATAGACTGTAAAGGAGAAGGGAGAGGATATTTCATGAGTGGAGTGCCTGCCACTCTTTCACTCACCTGGTTTTGTTGATCGCTCCTCTGCTGATGGAGATTATCCTCTTGAATTCTACTCATGTCTTCCTTGTTCCTCCTCTTCACTGCCATGATGGCACTCTGAGCTTCGGGCAGCTCTGCTTGTGGCTCTGCTTTGATGTTCTGTACACACAAATGCAGAGCAAGTGACTGGGAGCTGCCATCAGACTCAGCTTTTTTCGTCTTGCAGCCTCAAAATCACATTTATTCAGCCCCTTCTTTCTGCTTCCCTCCTCTGCTTCCATTGCAAACCTCCTGTCCCAGGGCTGATCTCTGCAGATTCCAAGGCTCTGTGCTTCCAGTGCCTGTGGGACTCCTGGCCTCCTCAGTCCCACGAGCTCTGGTTTATGCCCCTCTTCCTGCCCTTCCCTCTGTCCCCTGGCCAGTCAGGCTTACCTGGCCATTCTCCTGTGGCTCTTCCACCTGCTGCCTGAGCTGCTCTTCCTGCTCTCGGCCTGGGAACAGCTCTCCCTGAGTCTGCCATGGCATCTCTGATGAAGCAATCTGCTCCTGCCCTTTCTCTAGAAGCACCTGCACAGAAAGCAAGAGAAGATGGGTTTCAACTTCCCACGCGACCTTTGTGGGCCAAGACTCAAAGACTGCTGGGCTCACACGTTCCCAAAGCACTGTGCTGCTGCTCTGCTGGGTCATTCTCTGTTTGAGGGGAGGCACAGATTCCAAAGTGACCCTGGCCCTACAATCAGGGGCCATCTGGGACTGAAGCTCCAACAGCCTCTCAGGCAGCTGACAGGGAAGATGTGGCATTTCTCAAGGGTCTGCTGAGGGCCTCCCTCTGCTTCTGCCATGTCCTGTTTGTCTTTTAGTAGTGACTGACACCCCACCCTGTCCCACAGCTCCATCCTGGCTCTGCAGGTGGCTTCCTGGGTGAGCTCAGATCTTGTGAGAGACACTTCTGCAGTTCAAGTTCATTTCAGGCCTGCACCAGCATTCCTGCATACCTGACATCTATACTCTTGTAAGAAATCCTGGTCATTCAGGAGATAAGAATGTGTGCAAAGATCCTCTGATAGATGTCAGAGAAACTCTATGGCCACCTCAGTATGTGGAAGAGGACCAAGGTGTTTCTTCTCCCTCTTTTGTCAGCTGAGAATTCTGACCAGCAGAAACAGAGACTCTCCTAAGGCCCCATTAACGAATGCACTTACACAGCCCTGGGGATGCCAGTGAAGGAAACCATGTGTCACGTATGGCATGGCATGTATGACCAGAGTCACCAAACACCACCTAAACATGGAATTGTTCCACCTCTTTAGGACAGGCAGAAATCTACAAATTAAGTGAGGACTTGAGGGCACAAGAGGCTGGAGGAGGAAAACAACTCTAAAGGGAAAAACCAACATATCTGGAGGGGGAAACATCTCTGCCTGCTCAGAATCGGTCAAGGGAACATGTCTCTAATCCTCTCCTGAGAGGGATGAATTAGGTGACCTTTACACCTCCAACTGCTTTGGACCAGAGCCAGGAAAATTCAATTATGGAAATGTTACAGAAATAGATAGATAGGTAGGAATACAGGCAGATAGATCTCACTACTATAACCTCCCTTTACTGTCCTCTCTGTTGCTGCACACATCAAAACTTGGTAGCCAGTGCCCCGAACACTCCCGCTCTCCTGAGATTGCTCCCTGTTGCTTCAGAAAAGCACACTCTTGGGGAATTTGGAGTGTGTAGGTCCTTATGGAAAGAGATCAGACCCAGAGAATTGCACTGGGAACTGCACTCTTTATGCGTCTGTGCTCGGGTAAGTTCTCTTGGACTCAAGCACACTGATGGTGCTAAAGTGGCTGGAAACAGAAATAAAGCCCAGCAACTCCCCACAAGTGCTATGATCTCTGAGGAGCAGCTGGAATGCAAGGGCATTGACCTCCTGCTAAATTCCCGAACACAACACACACTGATTCCTTGGACTGTAGAAAGTCACAGGCACTGCGAAACTCAAAGTAATCTTTAAGGCCATGCATGAAGGCCTGGAAACACAAAAGCTCCACCTGGATCAAGGTGCAAAGAGGGTGCAGAATGCCTTCAAGAGTTTGATAAGAGCAGGAAAGATGGTGCAGAAGCATCCCTGCTTGCTGGAAAAAGAGAAAATGAATAGGCCTTCACCTCCTAGGAAACCAACAAACCACAAGTTGGGAAGTGTCAGCTACTCCGGTGTCTAAAGCCCTTGGATGCAGGGGGGATGAATTTTGGTGTGAACCAGCCCTTGTGCTGAGCACTGTCATGCAGGGAATGATGGAAGTTTGCCTGAAGGACCCTCAAGAGCCTCCCATTGTGCAGGCTAAATCTCCCTCAACACCTCCTCACTGGCCTTGTGCTGCACCCCCTTGCCCAGCTCCCCTGTCCTTCTGTGCACACGCTGCAGCCCCTCAAGGACTTTCTGCTGCCCAGGGGCCCACAAGTGCACCCAGCACTGCAGCTGTGGCCCCAGCGCTGCCCAGCACAGGGCCACGCTCACTGCCCTGCTCCTGCTGCCCCACTGCTGCTGACGCAGGCCACCATGCCCTGGGCCTTCTTGGCCACCTGGCCACACGCTGCCTCATCTTCAGTGGCTCAAGGCCAGCAGTAAACCTGGCTCCTTTTGGCCCATGCAGCTCCCCAGCCACAAATTTGCCCATTTCACTTCAGATACAGCAGGCACCGTTGTACGATGGCCTTCCTGTTCTGAACAACACAAGACAGCAGTCAAGGACTTGCAGCTTCACCCCCACTCTGGGCTCCAATGCACTTGCCGAAACTGCATACTTCATCACTACACAGATCAGTAGAAACTTAGCCCTTCTGCTCTTTGCACCTTCTCAAAAGCCAAAAGGCAGTTGGGCCAGCAGTGATTTTACAAGTGAAGAACGACTCAAGAAAACTGCAGAACACTTCCACAAGCCAAACACAACTTTCCAAAAAGGGAAAAGCAAGCAACAAAGCCTTTTGACCTCCAGCACTACCACGTGAGCCCTTGGCCATTACACCGCAGAAGCCCAGAGATGGAGCTTCCCTGAGCCAAGCAGCCAGAAGCTCCGCCGGAGCTGCGAGTTTAACACTGGCCCAACAGGACAGGTCAAAGGCCAATTTCTAGCTCTCACTGCCTGCAGGAAACGGCTACGTCCTGCAGGACTCCAGCACTCAGCATCCTGGGCCAGACACAGCAAGTGCTGGCAGCTCAGAAAGTTGCACCTCTGCCTTGCACTAAAGATGGCACCTCCCACAACGGGCACTTACTCTCTTGGAATGATGAGGACGTTCTGGTGTGACCACGGCTGAACAAAGGCGGTGGTCATCTTTCTCATTTTCCTCCTCTCTGGCTTCTTCTGCAATAGGAGAGAGAGCCAGGGGAAAGATGGCTCTTGCTCTTCTCACCTGTGGCAAAGAGAGAATCATAGGGACAGGCCGTTACCTAACGCTTATAACCCCATTTCTCTTCGTATCAACAGCCACATCTTCTTAGGAGAAATCATCAACTTTGTTAGCAATGGCATTCAAAGTCACTCCAACCAGACTGAAATGGGCACATTCAATAGAAGAGTATAAGGCTATGAATTCGATATTCCTCCCTGGCTGCCATTTGCAAGCAAGGTTGTCTCTGCAAAAGGCAGCTTTTGGTTCTTGAAAGCTCGGAAATGGAAAAGTAGGAAAGAGCCAGCAAGGCCTTTGCTACTGCTGCAGTAGACAAGGAAAACCAGAAAGGGTTCAGAATCCCTCCCAGTGCCTATAAGCACAGGAAAGTTTGCGCAGAAGCATCCTTGCTTGCTGGAAAAAGAGAAAATGAACAGGCCTTCACCTCCTAGGAAACCCACAAGCCACAAGTTGGGAAGTGTCAGCGACTCCAGTGTCTAAAGCCCTTGGATGCAGTGATGGCATGTTTGGCAGGGAAACAGCCCTTGTGCTGAGCACTGTCATGCAGGGAATGATGGAAGTTTGCCTGAAGGTCCCTCAAGAGCCTCCCATTGTGCAGGCTAAATCTCCCTCAACACCTCCTCACTGGCCTTGTGCTGCAACGCCTTGCCCAGCTCCCCTGTCCTTCTGTGCACGTGCTGCAGCCCCTCAAGGTCTTTCTGCTGCCCAGGGGCCCACAAGTGCACCCAGCACTGCAGCTGTGGCCGCAGCGCTGCCCAGCACAGGGCCACGCTCACTGCCCTGCTCCTGCTGCCCCACTGCTGCTGACACAGGCCACCATGCCCTGGGCCTTCTTGGCCACCTGGCCACACGCTGCCTCATCCTCAGTGGCTCAAGGCCAGCAGCAACCCTGGCTCCTTTTGGCCCACGCAGCTCCCCAGCCACAAAGGTGCCCATTTCACTTCAGATACAGCAGGCACCATTGTACGATGGCCTTCCTGTTCTGAACAACACAAGACAGCAGTCAAGGACTTGCAGCTTCACCCCCACTGCAAGCTCAGAGGCACTTGCCAAAGCTGCAGACTGCACCAAACTATGCATCAACAGAAACTGGCCGCTTCTGCTTTTGGCCTCGCAAGAAAGCTTCGCGACTCCGCACTTTGTTTCTTTGGCCACGCGGGACAAGAATGGGCCCCCACAGCTGCATGGACCACACAATCCTCCCCTTGCAGCTTATCAAAAGCCAAAAGACAGCTGGCCCAAAAGAGACTGTACAAGTGAAGAACTACTCATGGAAAGTGCCGACCGCTTTCACAAGCCAAACACGCCTTTCCAGAGAGGGAAAACAAACAAACCAAGGCCTGGCACCTCCAGCACTCCCTCCTTTGCCCTTGGCCATAGCACGGCAGAAGCCAAGCGATAGAGCTTCCCTGAGCCAAGCAGCCAGATGCTCTCCCAGAGGCACCAGCCCTTTGCTGCCTCAACATGACAGCTCAAAGGCCAAGTTCTGCGGTCTCTGCCTGGAGGAAATCCCCAGCTCCTGGCAGGACTCCAGCACCCAGCATCCTCAGCCAGCAACAGCAAAGTGCTGGCTGCTCCAAACCTTGCAGCTCTGCCTTGCACTAAAGACAGCACCACACACAACTGGCACTTACACGTTGAGAATATGGTGGTCTGACCACTGATGGAGGCTGGCGCTCATCCACCTCAGTTTGCTCCTCTTTGGCTTCTTCTCCAGGAGCAGCGGGGGCCAGGGGAGAGGCGGCTCTTGCTTCTGTCATCTGTGGCAAGAGAGGAGCATGAGGCACAGGCCATTTCCTATCATGTAGAACCTCATTTCTTTTCAGATCTACCACAACATCTTCTAAGGAAAAAATCAAAACATTTCAGAGTGACAGAGGGGTTCTAAATCACAGCCACCAAATTATCATGGGACAATTCAACACCACTCTAGATGGATATGAAGTTGATTTTCCTCCATGGCTGCCATCCGCAAGCCATCAGCAAGCCAAGGTTACCTCAGACAAATGCAGCTTTTAGAGCTTGAAAGCACTGAAATGGAAAACTAGGAAAGTGACAGCAACGCCTTTGCTACTGCTGCTGCAGACGTAGAAAACTCAAACTGGACCACAATCCCATCCAGGGCTGCAAAAGGGCAGGGAACATTGTACAGAAGCATCATTGCTTACTGGAGAAAGAGGAAAATGAACAGGCCTTCTCGTGTGAGCAAAACAACGAGCCAACAAACCACAAGATGGAAGTGTCACCCACTCCAGTGTCTAAAGCCCTTGGATGCAATGAGTGATGAATTTTTGGTGTGAAACAGCCCTTGTGCTGAGCACTGTCATGCAGGGAATGATGGAAGTTTGCCTGAAGGTCCCTCAAGAGCCTCCCATTGTGCAGGCTAAATCTCCCTCAACACCTCCTCACTGGCCTTGTGCTGCACCCCGTTGCCCAGCTCCCCTGTCCTTCTGTGCACGTGCTGCAACCCCTCAAGGTCTTTCTGCTGCCCAGGGGCCCACAAGTGCACCCAGCACTGCAGCTGTGGCCGCAGCGCTGCCCAGCACAGGGCCACGCTCACTGCCCTGCTCCTGCTGCCCCACTGCTGCTGACACAGGCCACCATGCCCTGGGCCTTCTTGGCCACCTGGCCACACGCTGCCTCATCCTCAGTGGCTCAAGGCCAGCAGCAACCCTGGCTCCTTTTGGCCCACGCAGCTCCCCAGCCACAAAGGTGCCCATTTCACTTCAGATACAGCAGGCACCGTTGTACGATGGCCTTCCTGTTCTGAACAACACAAGACAGCAGTCAAGGACTTGCAGCTTCACCCCCACTCTGGGCTCCAATGCACTTGCCGAAACTGCATACTTCATCACTACACAGATCAGTAGAAACTTAGCCCTTCTGCTCTTTGCACCTTCTCAAAAGCCAAAAGGCAGTTGGGCCAGCAGTGATTTTACAAGTGAAGAACGACTCAAGAAAACTGCAGAACACTTCCACAAGCCAAACACAACTTTCCAAAAAGGGAAAAGCAAGCAACAAAGCCTTTTGACCTCCAGCACTACCACGTGAGCCCTTGGCCATTACACCGCAGAAGCCCAGAGATGGAGCTTCCCTGAGCCAAGCAGCCACAAGCTCCGCCGGAGCTGCGAGTTTAACACTGGCCCAACAGGACAGGTCAAAGGCCAATTTCTAGCTCTCACTGCCTGCAGGAAACGGCTACGTCCTGCAGGACTCCAGCACTCAGCATCCTGGGCCAGACACAGCAAGTGCTGGCAGCTCAGAAAGTTGCACCTCTGCCTTGCACTAAAGATGGCGCCTCCCACAACGGGCACTTACTCTCTTGGAATGATGAGGACGTTCTGGTGTGACCACGGCTGAACAAAGGCGGTGGTCATCTTTCTCATTTTCCTCCTCTCTGGCTTCTTCTGCAATAGGAGAGAGAGCCAGGGGAAAGATGGCTCTTGCTCTTCTCACCTGTGGCAAAGAGAGAATCATAGGGACAGGCCGTTACCTAACGCTTATAACCCCATTTCTCTTCGTATCAACAGCCACATCTTCTTAGGAGAAATCATCAACTTTGTTAGCAATGGCATTCAAAGTCACTCCAACCAGACTGAAATGGGCACATTCAATAGAAGAGTATAAGGCTATGAATTCAATATTCCTCCCTGGCTGCCATTTGCAAGCAAGGTTGTCTCTGCAAAAGGCAGCTTTTGGTTCTTGAAAGCTCGGAAATGGAAAAGTAGGAAAGAGCCAGCAAGGCCTTTGCTACTGCTGCAGTAGACAAGGAAAACCAGAAAGGGTTCAGAATCCCTCCCAGTGCCTATAAGCACAGGAAAGTTTGCGCAGAAGCATCCTTGCTTGCTGGAAAAAGAGAAAATGAACAGGCCTTCACCTCCTAGGAAACCCACAAGCCACAAGTTGGGAAGTGTCAGCGACTCCAGTGTCTAAAGCCCTTGGATGCAGTGATGGCATGTTTGGCAGGGAAACAGCCCTTGTGCTGAGCACTGTCATGCAGGGAATGATGGAAGTTTGCCTGAAGGTCCCTCAAGAGCCTCCCATTGTGCAGGCTAAATCTCCCTCAACACCTCCTCACTGGCCTTGTGCTGCAACGCCTTGCCCAGCTCCCCTGTCCTTCTGTGCACGTGCTGCAGCCCCTCAAGGTCTTTCTGCTGCCCAGGGGCCCACAAGTGCACCCAGCACTGCAGCTGTGGCCGCAGCGCTGCCCAGCACAGGGCCACGCTCACTGCCCTGCTCCTGCTGCCCCACTGCTGCTGACACAGGCCACCATGCCCTGGGCCTTCTTGGCCACCTGGCCACACGCTGCCTCATCCTCAGTGGCTCAAGGCCAGCAGCAACCCTGGCTCCTTTTGGCCCACGCAGCTCCCCAGCCACAAAGGTGCCCATTTCACTTCAGATACAGCAGGCACCATTGTACGATGGCCTTCCTGTTCTGAACAACACAAGACAGCAGTCAAGGACTTGCAGCTTCACCCCCACTGCAAGCTCAGAGGCACTTGCCAAAGCTGCAGACTGCACCAAACTATGCATCAACAGAAACTGGCCGCTTCTGCTTTTGGCCTCGCAAGAAAGCTTCGCGACTCCGCACTTTGTTTCTTTGGCCACGCGGGACAAGAATGGGCCCCCACAGCTGCATGGACCACACAATCCTCCCCTTGCAGCTTATCAAAAGCCAAAAGACAGCTGGCCCAAAAGAGACTGTACAAGTGAAGAACTACTCATGGAAAGTGCCGACCGCTTTCACAAGCCAAACACGCCTTTCCAGAGAGGGAAAACAAACAAACCAAGGCCTGGCACCTCCAGCACTCCCTCCTTTGCCCTTGGCCATAGCACGGCAGAAGCCAAGCGATAGAGCTTCCCTGAGCCAAGCAGCCAGATGCTCTCCCAGAGGCACCAGCCCTTTGCTGCCTCAACATGACAGCTCAAAGGCCAAGTTCTGCGGTCTCTGCCTGGAGGAAATCCCCAGCTCCTGGCAGGACTCCAGCACCCAGCATCCTCAGCCAGCAACAGCAAAGTGCTGGCTGCTCCAAACCTTGCAGCTCTGCCTTGCACTAAAGACAGCACCACACACAACTGGCACTTACACGTTGAGAATATGGTGGTCTGACCACTGATGGAGGCTGGCGCTCATCCACCTCAGTTTGCTCCTCTTTGGCTTCTTCTCCAGGAGCAGCGGGGGCCAGGGGAGAGGCGGCTCTTGCTTCTGTCATCTGTGGCAAGAGAGGAGCATGAGGCACAGGCCATTTCCTATCATGTAGAACCTCATTTCTTTTCAGATCTACCACAACATCTTCTAAGGAAAAAATCAAAACATTTCAGAGTGACAGAGGGGTTCTAAATCACAGCCACCAAATTATCATGGGACAATTCAACACCACTCTAGATGGATATGAAGTTGATTTTCCTCCATGGCTGCCATCCGCAAGCCATCAGCAAGCCAAGGTTACCTCAGACAAATGCAGCTTTTAGAGCTTGAAAGCACTGAAATGGAAAACTAGGAAAGTGACAGCAACGCCTTTGCTACTGCTGCTGCAGACGTAGAAAACTCAAACTGGACCACAATCCCATCCAGGGCTGCAAAAGGGCAGGGAACATTGTACAGAAGCATCATTGCTTACTGGAGAAAGAGGAAAATGAACAGGCCTTCTCGTGTGAGCAAAACAACGAGCCAACAAACCACAAGATGGAAGTGTCACCCACTCCAGTGTCTAAAGCCCTTGGATGCAATGAGTGATGAATTTTTGGTGTGAAACAGCCCTTGTGCTGAGCACTGTCATGCAGGGAATGATGGAAGTTTGCCTGAAGGTCCCTCAAGAGCCTCCCATTGTGCAGGCTAAATCTCCCTCAACACCTCCTCACTGGCCTTGTGCTGCACCCCGTTGCCCAGCTCCCCTGTCCTTCTGTGCACACGCTGCAGCCCCTCAAGGACTTTCTGCTGCCCAGGGGCCCACAAGTGCACCCAGCACTGCAGCTGTGGCCGCAGCGCTGCCCAGCACAGGGCCACGCTCACTGCCCTGCTCCTGCTGCCCCACTGCTGCTGACACAGGCCACCATGCCCTGGGCCTTCTTGGCCACCTGGCCACACGCTGCCTCATCCTCAGTGGCTCAAGGCCAGCAGCAACCCTGGCTCCTTTTGGCCCACGCAGCTCCCCAGCCACAAATTTGCCCATTTCACTTCAGATACAGCAGGCACCATTGTACGATGGCCTTCCTGTTCTGAACAACACAAGACAGCAGTCAAGGACTTGCAGCTTCACCCCCACTGCAGGCTCAGAGGCACTTGCCAAAGCTGCAGACTGCACCAAACTATGCATCAACAGAAACTGGCCGCTTCTGCTTTTGGCCTCGCAAGAAAGCTTCGCGACTCCGCACTTTGTTTCTTTGGCCACGCGGGACAAGAATGGGCCCCCACAGCTGCATGGACCACACAATCCTCCCCTTGCAGCTTATCAAAAGCCAAAAGACAGCTGGCCCAAAAGAGACTGTACAAGTGAAGAACTACTCATGGAAAGTGCCGACCGCTTTCACAAGCCAAACCCGCCTTTCCAGAGAGGGAAAACAAACAAACCAAGGCCTGGCACCTCCAGCACTCCCTCCTTTGCCCTTGGCCATAGCACGGCAGAAGCCAAGCGATAGAGCTTCCCTGAGCCAAGCAGCCAGATGCTCTCCCAGAGGCACCAGCCCTTTGCTGCCTCAACATGACAGCTCAAAGGCCAAGTTCTGCGGTCTCTGCCTGGAGGAAATCCCCAGCTCCTGGCAGGACTCCAGCACCCAGCATCCTCAGCCAGCAACAGCAAAGTGCTGGCTGCTCCAAACCTTGCAGCTCTGCCTTGCACTAAAGACAGCACCACACACAACTGGCACTTACACGTTGAGAATATGGTGGTCTGACCACTGATGGAGGCTGGCGCTCATCCACCTCAGTTTGCTCCTCTTTGGCTTCTTCTCCAGGAGCAGCGGGGGCCAGGGGAGAGGCGGCTCTTGCTTCTGTCATCTGTGGCAAGAGAGGAGCATGAGGCACAGGCCATTTCCTATCATGTAGAACCTCATTTCTTTTCAGATCTACCACAACATCTTCTAAGGAAAAAATCAAAACATTTCAGAGTGACAGAGGGGTTCTAAATCACAGCCACCAAATTATCATGGGACAATTCAACACCACTCTAGATGGATATGAAGTTGATTTTCCTCCATGGCTGCCATCCGCAAGCCATCAGCAAGCCAAGGTTACCTCAGACAAATGCAGCTTTTAGAGCTTGAAAGCACTGAAATGGAAAACTAGGAAAGTGACAGCAACGCCTTTGCTACTGCTGCTGCAGACGTAGAAAACTCAAACTGGACCACAATCCCATCCAGGGCTGCAAAAGGGCAGGGAACATTGTACAGAAGCATCATTGCTTACTGGAGAAAGAGGAAAATGAACAGGCCTTCTCGTGTGAGCAAAACAACGAGCCAACAAACCACAAGATGGAAGTGTCACCCACTCCAGTGTCTAAAGCCCTTGGATGCAATGAGTGATGAATTTTTGGTGTGAAACAGCCCTTGTGCTGAGCACTGTCATGCAGGGAATGATGGAAGTTTGCCTGAAGGTCCCTCAAGAGCCTCCCATTGTGCAGGCTAAATCTCCCTCAACACCTCCTCACTGGCCTTGTGCTGCAACGCCTTGCCCAGCTCCCCTGTCCTTCTGTGCACGTGCTGCAACCCCTCAAGGTCTTTCTGCTGCCCAGGGGCCCACAAGTGCACCCAGCACTGCAGCTGTGGCCGCAGCGCTGCCCAGCACAGGGCCACGCTCACTGCCCTGCTCCTGCTGCCCCACTGCTGCTGACACAGGCCACCATGCCCTGGGCCTTCTTGGCCACCTGGCCACACGCTGCCTCATCCTCAGTGGCTCAAGGCCAGCAGCAACCCTGGCTCCTTTTGGCCCACGCAGCTCCCCAGCCACAAAGGTGCCCATTTCACTTCAGATACAGCAGGCACCATTGTACGATGGCCTTCCTGTTCTGAACAACACAAGACAGCAGTCAAGGACTTGCAGCTTCACCCCCACTGCAGGCTCAGAGGCACTTGCCAAAGCTGCAGACTGCACCAAACTATGCATCAACAGAAACTGGCCGCTTCTGCTTTTGGCCTCGCAAGAAAGCTTCGCGACTCCGCACTTTGTTTCTTTGGCCACGCGGGACAAGAATGGGCCCCCACAGCTGCATGGACCACACAATCCTCCCCTTGCAGCTTATCAAAAGCCAAAAGACAGCTGGCCCAAAAGAGACTGTACAAGTGAAGAAGTACTCATGGAAAGTGCCGACCGCTTTCACAAGCCAAACACGCCTTTCCAGAGAGGGAAAACAAACAAACCAAGGCCTGGCACCTCCAGCACTCCCTCCTTTGCCCTTGGCCATAGCACGGCAGAAGCCAAGAGATAGAGCTTCCCTGAGCCAAGCAGCCAGATGCTCTCCCACAGGCACCAGCCCTTTGCTGCCTCAACATGACAGCTCAAAGGCCAAGTTCTGCGGTCTCTGCCTGGAGGAAATCCCCAGCTCCTGGCAGGACTCCAGCACCCAGCATCCTCAGCCAGCAACAGCAAAGTGCTGGCTGCTCCAAACCTTGCAGCTCTGCCTTGCACTAAAGACAGCACCACACACAACTGGCACTTACACGTTGAGAATATGGTGGTCTGACCACTGATGGAGGCTGGCGCTCATCCACCTCAGTTTGCTCCTCTTTGGCTTCTTCTCCAGGAGCAGCGGGGGCCAGCGGAGAGGCGGCTCTTGCTTCTGTCATCTGTGGCAAGAGAGGAGCATGAGGCACAGGCCATTTCCTATCATGTAGAACCTCATTTCTTTTCAGATCTACCACAACATCTTCTAAGGAAAAAATCAAAACATTTCAGAGTGACAGAGGGGTTCTAAATCACAGCCACCAAATTATCATGGGACAATTCAACACCACTCTAGATGGATATGAAGTTGATTTTCCTCCATGGCTGCCATCCGCAAGCCATCAGCAAGCCAAGGTTACCTCAGACAAATGCAGCTTTTAGAGCTTGAAAGCACTGAAATGGAAAACTAGGAAAGTGACAGCAACGCCTTTGCTACTGCTGCTGCAGACGTAGAAAACTCAAACTGGACCACAATCCCATCCAGGGCTGCAAAAGGGCAGGGAACATTGTACAGAAGCATCATTGCTTACTGGAGAAAGAGGAAAATGAACAGGCCTTCTCGTGTGAGCAAAACAACGAGCCAACAAACCACAAGATGGAAGTGTCACCCACTCCAGTGTCTAAAGCCCTTGGATGCAATGAGTGATGAATTTTTGGTGTGAAACAGCCCTTGTGCTGAGCACTGTCATGCAGGGAATGATGGAAGTTTGCCTGAAGGTCCCTCAAGAGCCTCCCATTGTGCAGGCTAAATCTCCCTCAACACCTCCTCACTGGCCTTGTGCTGCAACGCCTTGCCCAGCTCCCCTGTCCTTCTGTGCACGTGCTGCAACCCCTCAAGGTCTTTCTGCTGCCCAGGGGCCCACAAGTGCACCCAGCACTGCAGCTGTGGCCGCAGCGCTGCCCAGCACAGGGCCACGCTCACTGCCCTGCTCCTGCTGCCCCACTGCTGCTGACACAGGCCACCATGCCCTGGGCCTTCTTGGCCACCTGGCCACACGCTGCCTCATCCTCAGTGGCTCAAGGCCAGCAGCAACCCTGGCTCCTTTTGGCCCACGCAGCTCCCCAGCCACAAAGGTGCCCATTTCACTTCAGATACAGCAGGCACCATTGTACGATGGCCTTCCTGTTCTGAACAACACAAGACAGCAGTCAAGGACTTGCAGCTTCACCCCCACTGCAGGCTCAGAGGCACTTGCCAAAGCTGCAGACTGCACCAAACTATGCATCAACAGAAACTGGCCGCTTCTGCTTTTGGCCTCGCAAGAAAGCTTCGCGACTCCGCACTTTGTTTCTTTGGCCACGCGGGACAAGAATGGGCCCCCACAGCTGCATGGACCACACAATCCTCCCCTTGCAGCTTATCAAAAGCCAAAGACAGCTGGCCCAAAAGAGACTGTACAAGTGAAGAACTACTCATGGAAAGTGCCGACCGCTTTCACAAGCCAAACCCGCCTTTCCAGAGAGGGAAAACAAACAAACCAAGGCCTGGCACCTCCAGCACTCCCTCCTTTGCCCTTGGCCATAGCACGGCAGAAGCCAAGCGATAGAGCTTCCCTGAGCCAAGCAGCCAGATGCTCTCCCAGAGGCACCAGCCCTTTGCTGCCTCAACATGACAGCTCAAAGGCCAAGTTCTGCGGTCTCTGCCTGGAGGAAATCCCCAGCTCCTGGCAGGACTCCAGCACCCAGCATCCTCAGCCAGCAACAGCAAAGTGCTGGCTGCTCCAAACCTTGCAGCTCTGCCTTGCACTAAAGACAGCACCACACACAACTGGCACTTACACGTTGAGAATATGGTGGTCTGACCACTGATGGAGGCTGGCGCTCATCCACCTCAGTTTGCTCCTCTTTGGCTTCTTCTCCAGGAGCAGCGGGGGCCAGCGGAGAGGCGGCTCTTGCTTCTGTCATCTGTGGCAAGAGAGGAGCATGAGGCACAGGCCATTTCCTATCATGTAGAACCTCATTTCTTTTCAGATCTACCACAACATCTTCTAAGGAAAAAATCATAACATTTCAGAGTGACAGAGGGGTTCTAAATCACAGCCACCAAATTATCATGGGACAATTCAACACCACTCTAGATGGATATGAAGTTGATTTTCCTCCATGGCTGCCATCCGCAAGCCATCAGCAAGCCAAGGTTACCTCAGACAAATGCAGCTTTTAGAGCTTGAAAGCACTGAAATGGAAAACTAGGAAAGTGACAGCAACGCCTTTGCTACTGCTGCTGCAGACGTAGAAAACTCAAACTGGACCACAATCCCATCCAGGGCTGCAAAAGGGCAGGGAACATTGTAGAGAAGCATCATTGCTTACTGGAAAAAGAGGAAAATGAACAGGCCTTCTCGTGCGAGCAAAACAACGAGCCAACAAACCACAAGATGGAAGTGTCACTCACTCCAGTGTCTAAAGCCCTTGGATGCAATGAGTGATGAATTTTTGGTGTGAACCAGCCCTTGTGCTGAGCACTGTCATGCAGGGATTGATGGAAGTTTGCCTGAAGGTCCCTCAAGAGCCTCCCATTGTGCAGGCTAAATCTCCCTCAACACCTCCACCCTGGCCTTGTGCTGCAACGCCTTGCCCAGCTCCCCTGTACTTCTGTGCACACGCTGCAGCCCCTCAAGGTCTTTCTGCTGCCCGGGGGCCCACAAGTGCACCCAGCACTGCAGCTGTGGCCCCAGCGCTGCCCAGCACAGGGCCACGCTCACTGCCCTGCTCCTGCTGCCCCACTGCTGCTGACACAGGCCACCATGCCCTGGGCCTTCTTGGCCACCTGGCCACACGCTGCCTCATCTTCAGTGGCTCAAGGCCAGCAGTAAACCTGGCTCCTTTTGGCCCACGCAGCTCCCCAGCCACAAAGGTGCTCATTTCACTTCAGATACAGCAGGCACCATTGCAAGATGGCCTTCCTGTTCTGAGCAACACAAGACAGCAGTCAAGGACTTGCAGCTTCACCCCCACTCTGGGCTCCAATGCACTTGCCAAAACTGCAGACTTCATCACTACACAGATCAGTAGAAACTTAGCCCTTCTGCTCTTTGCACCTTCTCAAAAGCCAAAAGGCAGTTGGGCCAGCAGTGATTTTACAAGTGAAGAACGACTCAAGGAAACTGCAGCACACTTCCACAAGCCAAACACAACTTTCCAAAAAGGGAAAAGCAAGCAAGAAAGCCTTTGGACCTCCAGCACTACCACGTGAGCCCTTGGCCATTACACCGCAGAAGCCCAGAGATGGAGCTTCCCTGAGCCAAGCAGCCACAAGCTCCGCCGGAGCTGCGAGTTTAACACTGGCCCAACAGGACAGGTCAAAGGCCAATTTCTAGCTCTCACTGCCTGCAGGAAACGGCTACGTCCTGCAGGACTCCAGCACTCAGCATCCTGGGCCAGACACAGCAAGTGCTGGCAGCTCAGAAAGTTGCACCTCTGCCTTGCACTAAAGATGGCGCCTCCCACAACGGGCACTTACTCTCTTGGAATGATGAGGACGTTCTGGTGTGACCACGGCTGAACAAAGGCGGTGGTCATCTTTCTCATTTTCCTCCTCTCTGGCTTCTTCTGCAATAGGAGAGAGAGCCAGGGGAAAGATGGCTCTTGCTCTTCTCACCTGTGGCAAAGAGAGAATCATAGGGACAGGCCGTTACCTAACGCTTATAACCCCATTTCTCTTCGTATCAACAGCCACATCTTCTTAGGAGAAATCATCAACTTTGTTAGCAATGGCATTCAAAGTCACTCCAACCAGACTGAAATGGGCACATTCAATAGAAGAGTATAAGGCTATGAATTCAATATTCCTCCCTGGCTGCCATTTGCAAGCAAGGTTGTCTCTGCAAAAGGCAGCTTTTGGTTCTTGAAAGCTCGGAAATGGAAAAGTAGGAAAGAGCCAGCAAGGCCTTTGCTACTGCTGCAGTAGACAAGGAAAACCAGAAAGGGTTCAGAATCCCTCCCAGTGCCTATAAGCACAGGAAAGTTTGCGCAGAAGCATCCTTGCTTGCTGGAAAAAGAGAAAATGAACAGGCCTTCACCTCCTAGGAAACCCACAAGCCACAAGTTGGGAAGTGTCAGCGACTCCAGTGTCTAAAGCCCTTGGATGCAGTGATGGCATGTTTGGCAGGGAAACAGCCCTTGTGCTGAGCACTGTCATGCAGGGATTGATGGAAGTTTGCCTGAAGGACCCTCAAGAGCCTCCCATTGTCCAGGCTAAAGCTCCCTCAACACCTCCTCCCTGGCCTTGTGCTGCAACGCCTTGCCCAGCTCCCAGTCCTTCTGTGCACGCGCTGCAGCCCCTCAAGGTCTTTCTGCTGCCCAGGGGCCCACAAGTGCACCCAGCACTGCAGCTGTGGCCGCAGCGCTGCCCAGCACAGGGCCACGCTCACTGCCCTGCTCCTGCTGCCCCACTGCTGCTGACACAGGCCACCATGCCCTGGGCCTTCTTGGCCACCTGGCCACACGCTGCCTCATCCTCAGTGGCTCAAGGCCAGCAGCAACCCTGGCTCCTTTTGGCCCACGCAGCTCCCCAGCCACAAATTTGCCCATTTCACTTCAGATACAGCAGGCACCGTTGTACGATGGCCTTCCTGTTCTGAACAACACAAGAGAGCAGTCAAGGACTTGCAGCTTCACCCCCACTGCAGGCTCAGAGGCACTTGCCAAAGCTGCAGACTGCACCAAACTATGCATCAACAGAAACTGGCCGCTTCTGCTTTTGGCCTCGCCAGAAAGCTTCGCGACTCCGCACTTTGTTTCTTTGGCCACGCGGGACAAGAATGGGCCCCCACAGCTGCATGGACCACACAATCCTCCCCTTGCAGCTTATCAAAAGCCAAAAGACAGCTGGCCCAAAAGAGACTGTACAAGTGAAGAACTACTCATGGAAAGTGCCGACCGCTTTCACAAGCCAAACACACCTTTCCAGAGAGGGAAAACAAACAAACCAAGGCCTGGCACCTCCAGCACTCCCTCCTTTGCCCTTGGCCATAGCACGGCAGAAGCCAAGCGATAGAGCTTCCCTGAGCCAAGCAGCCAGATGCTCTCCCAGAGGCACCAGCCCTTTGCTGCCTCAACATGACAGCTCAAAGGCCAAGTTCTGCGGTCTCTGCCTGGAGGAAATCCCCAGCTCCTGGCAGGACTCCAGCACCCAGCATCCTCAGCCAGCAACAGCAAAGTGCTGGCTGCTCCAAACCTTGCAGCTCTGCCTTGCACTAAAGACAGCACCACACACAACTGGCACTTACACGTTGAGAATATGGTGGTCTGACCACTGATGGAGGCTGGCGCTCATCCACCTCAGTTTGCTCCTCTTTGGCTTCTTCTCCAGGAGCAGCGGGGGCCAGCGGAGAGGCGGCTCTTGCTTCTGTCATCTGTGGCAAGAGAGGAGCATGAGGCACAGGCCATTTCCTATCATGTAGAACCTCATTTCTTTTCAGATCTACCACAACATCTTCTAAGGAAAAAATCATAACATTTCAGAGTGACAGAGGGGTTCTAAATCACAGCCACCAAATTATCATGGGACAATTCAACACCACTCTAGATGGATATGAAGTTGATTTTCCTCCATGGCTGCCATCCGCAAGCCATCAGCAAGCCAAGGTTACCTCAGACAAATGCAGCTTTTAGAGCTTGAAAGCACTGAAATGGAAAACTAGGAAAGTGACAGCAACGCCTTTGCTACTGCTGCTGCAGACGTAGAAAACTCAAACTGGACCACAATCCCATCCAGGGCTGCAAAAGGGCAGGGAACATTGTACAGAAGCATCATTGCTTACTGGAAAAAGAGGAAAATGAACAGGCCTTCTCGTGCGAGCAAAACAACGAGCCAACAAACCACAAGATGGAAGTGTCACCCACTCCAGTGTCTAAAGCCCTTGGATGCAATGAGTGATGAATTTTTGGTGTGAACCAGCCCTTGTGCTGAGCACTGTCATGCAGGGATTGATGGAAGTTTGCCTGAAGGTCCCTCAAGAGCCTCCCATTGTGCAGGCTAAATCTCCCTCAACACCTCCACCCTGGCCTTGTGCTGCAACGCCTTGCCCAGCTCCCCTGTACTTCTGTGCACACGCTGCAGCCCCTCAAGGTCTTTCTGCTGCCCGGGGGCCCACAAGTGCACCCAGCACTGCAGCTGTGGCCCCAGCGCTGCCCAGCACAGGGCCACGCTCACTGCCCTGCTCCTGCTGCCCCACTGCTGCTGACACAGGCCACCATGCCCTGGGCCTTCTTGGCCACCTGGCCACACGCTGCCTCATCTTCAGTGGCTCAAGGCCAGCAGTAAACCTGGCTCCTTTTGGCCCACGCAGCTCCCCAGCCACAAAGGTGCTCATTTCACTTCAGATACAGCAGGCACCGTTGTACGATGGCCTTCCTGTTCTGAGCAACACAAGACAGCAGTCAAGGACTTGCAGCTTCACCCCCACTCTGGGCTCCAATGCACTTGCCAAAACTGCAGACTTCATCACTACACAGATCAGTAGAAACTTAGCCCTTCTGCTCTTTGCACCTTCTCAAAAGCCAAAAGGCAGTTGGGCCAGCAGTGATTTTACAAGTGAAGAACGACTCAAGGAAACTGCAGCACACTTCCACAAGCCAAACACAACTTTCCAAAAAGGGAAAAGCAAGCAAGAAAGCCTTTGGACCTCCAGCACTACCACGTGAGCCCTTGGCCATTACACCGCAGAAGCCCAGAGATGGAGCTTCCCTGAGCCAAGCAGCCACAAGCTCCGCCGGAGCTGCGAGTTTTACACTGGCCCAACAGGACAGGTCAAAGGCCAATTTCTAGCTCTCACTGCCTGCAGGAAACGGCTACGTCCTGCAGGACTCCAGCACTCAGCATCCTGGGCCAGACACAGCAAGTGCTGGCAGCTCAGAAAGTTGCACCTCTGCCTTGCACTAAAGATGGCGCCTCCCACAACGGGCACTTACTCTCTTGGAATGATGAGGACGTTCTGGTGTGACCACGGCTGAACAAAGGCGGTGGTCATCTTTCTCATTTTCCTCCTCTCTGGCTTCTTCTGCAATAGGAGAGAGAGCCAGGGGAAAGATGGCTCTTGCTCTTCTCACCTGTGGCAAAGAGAGAATCATAGGGACAGGCCGTTACCTAACGCTTATAACCCCATTTCTCTTCGTATCAACAGCCACATCTTCTTAGGAGAAATCATCAACTTTGTTAGCAATGGCATTCAAAGTCACTCCAACCAGACTGAAATGGGCACATTCAATAGAAGAGTATAAGGCTATGAATTCAATATTCCTCCCTGGCTGCCATTTGCAAGCAAGGTTGTCTCTGCAAAAGGCAGCTTTTGGTTCTTGAAAGCTCGGAAATGGAAAAGTAGGAAAGAGCCAGCAAGGCCTTTGCTACTGCTGCAGTAGACAAGGAAAACCAGAAAGGGTTCAGAATCCCTCCCAGTGCCTATAAGCACAGGAAAGTTTGCGCAGAAGCATCCTTGCTTGCTGGAAAAAGAGAAAATGAACAGGCCTTCACCTCCTAGGAAACCCACAAGCCACAAGATGGGAAGTGTCAGCGACTCCAGTGTCTAAAGCCCTTGGATGCAGTGATGGCATGTTTGGCAGGGAAACAGCCCTTGTGCTGAGCACTGTCATGCAGGGATTGATGGAAGTTTGCCTGAAGGACCCTCAAGAGCCTCCCATTGTCCAGGCTAAAGCTCCCTCAACACCTCCTCCCTGGCCTTGTGCTGCAACGCCTTGCCCAGCTCCCAGTCCTTCTGTGCACGCGCTGCAGCCCCTCAAGGTCTTTCTGCTGCCCAGGGGCCCACAAGTGCACCCAGCACTGCAGCTGTGGCCGCAGCGCTGCCCAGCACAGGGCCACGCTCGCTGCCCTGCTCCTGCTGCCCCACTGCTGCTGACACAGGCCACCATGCCCTGGGCCTTCTTGGCCACCTGGCCACACGCTGCCTCATCCTCAGTGGCTCAAGGCCAGCAGCAACCCTGGCTCCTTTTGGCCCACGCAGCTCCCCAGCCACAAATTTGCCCATTTCACTTCAGATACAGCAGGCACCATTGTACGATGGCCTTCCTGTTCTGAACAACACAAGACAGCAGTCAAGGACTTGCAGCTTCACCCCCACTGCAGGCTCAGAGGCACTTGCCAAAGCTGCAGACTGCACCAAACTATGCATCAACAGAAACTGGCCGCTTCTGCTTTTGGCCTCGCAAGAAAGCTTCGCGACTCCGCACTTTGTTTCTTTGGCCACGCGGGACAAGAATGGGCCCCCACAGCTGCATGGACCACACAATCCTCCCCTTGCAGCTTATCAAAAGCCAAAAGACAGCTGGCCCAAAAGAGACTGTACAAGTGAAGAACTACTCATGGAAAGTGCCGACCGCTTTCACAAGCCAAACACACCTTTCCAGAGAGGGAAAACAAACAAACCAAGGCCTGGCACCTCCAGCACTCCCTCCTTTGCCCTTGGCCATAGCACGGCAGAAGCCAAGCGATAGAGCTTCCCTGAGCCAAGCAGCCAGATGCTCTCCCAGAGGCACCAGCCCTTTGCTGCCTCAACATGACAGCTCAAAGGCCAAGTTCTGCGGTCTCTGCCTGGAGGAAATCCCCAGCTCCTGGCAGGACTCCAGCACCCAGCATCCTCAGCCAGCAACAGCAAAGTGCTGGCTGCTCCAAACCTTGCAGCTCTGCCTTGCACTAAAGACAGCACCACACACAACTGGCACTTACACGTTGAGAATATGGTGGTCTGACCACTGATGGAGGCTGGCGCTCATCCACCTCAGTTTGCTCCTCTTTGGCTTCTTCTCCAGGAGCAGCGGGGGCCAGGGGAGAGGCGGCTCTTGCTTCTGTCATCTGTGGCAAGAGAGGAGCATGAGGCACAGGCCATTTCCTATCATGTAGAACCTCATTTCTTTTCAGATCTACCACAACATCTTCTAAGGAAAAAATCAAAACATTTCAGAGTGACAGAGGGGTTCTAAATCACAGCCACCAAATTATCATGGGACAATTCAACACCACTCTAGATGGATATGAAGTTGATTTTCCTCCATGGCTGCCATCCGCAAGCCATCAGCAAGCCAAGGTTACCTCAGACAAATGCAGCTTTTAGAGCTTGAAAGCACTGAAATGGAAAACTAGGAAAGTGACAGCAACGCCTTTGCTACTGCTGCTGCAGACGTAGAAAACTCAAACTGGACCACAATCCCATCCAGGGCTGCAAAAGGGCAGGGAACATTGTACAGAAGCATCATTGCTTACTGGAGAAAGAGGAAAATGAACAGGCCTTCTCGTGTGAGCAAAACAACGAGCCAACAAACCACAAGATGGAAGTGTCACCCACTCCAGTGTCTAAAGCCCTTGGATGCAATGAGTGATGAATTTTTGGTGTGAAACAGCCCTTGTGCTGAGCACTGTCATGCAGGGAATGATGGAAGTTTGCCTGAAGGTCCCTCAAGAGCCTCCCATTGTGCAGGCTAAATCTCCCTCAACACCTCCTCACTGGCCTTGTGCTGCAACGCCTTGCCCAGCTCCCCTGTCCTTCTGTGCACGTGCTGCAACCCCTCAAGGTCTTTCTGCTGCCCAGGGGCCCACAAGTGCACCCAGCACTGCAGCTGTGGCCGCAGCGCTGCCCAGCACAGGGCCACGCTCACTGCCCTGCTCCTGCTGCCCCACTGCTGCTGACACAGGCCACCATGCCCTGGGCCTTCTTGGCCACCTGGCCACACGCTGCCTCATCCTCAGTGGCTCAAGGCCAGCAGCAACCCTGGCTCCTTTTGGCCCACGCAGCTCCCCAGCCACAAAGGTGCCCATTTCACTTCAGATACAGCAGGCACCATTGTACGATGGCCTTCCTGTTCTGAACAACACAAGACAGCAGTCAAGGACTTGCAGCTTCACCCCCACTGCAGGCTCAGAGGCACTTGCCAAAGCTGCAGACTGCACCAAACTATGCATCAACAGAAACTGGCCGCTTCTGCTTTTGGCCTCGCAAGAAAGCTTCGCGACTCCGCACTTTGTTTCTTTGGCCACGCGGGACAAGAATGGGCCCCCACAGCTGCATGGACCACACAATCCTCCCCTTGCAGCTTATCAAAAGCCAAAAGACAGCTGGCCCAAAAGAGACTGTACAAGTGAAGAAGTACTCATGGAAAGTGCCGACCGCTTTCACAAGCCAAACACGCCTTTCCAGAGAGGGAAAACAAACAAACCAAGGCCTGGCACCTCCAGCACTCCCTCCTTTGCCCTTGGCCATAGCACGGCAGAAGCCAAGAGATAGAGCTTCCCTGAGCCAAGCAGCCAGATGCTCTCCCACAGGCACCAGCCCTTTGCTGCCTCAACATGACAGCTCAAAGGCCAAGTTCTGCGGTCTCTGCCTGGAGGAAATCCCCAGCTCCTGGCAGGACTCCAGCACCCAGCATCCTCAGCCAGCAACAGCAAAGTGCTGGCTGCTCCAAACCTTGCAGCTCTGCCTTGCACTAAAGACAGCACCACACACAACTGGCACTTACACGTTGAGAATATGGTGGTCTGACCACTGATGGAGGCTGGCGCTCATCCACCTCAGTTTGCTCCTCTTTGGCTTCTTCTCCAGGAGCAGCGGGGGCCAGCGGAGAGGCGGCTCTTGCTTCTGTCATCTGTGGCAAGAGAGGAGCATGAGGCACAGGCCATTTCCTATCATGTAGAACCTCATTTCTTTTCAGATCTACCACAACATCTTCTAAGGAAAAAATCAAAACATTTCAGAGTGACAGAGGGGTTCTAAATCACAGCCACCAAATTATCATGGGACAATTCAACACCACTCTAGATGGATATGAAGTTGATTTTCCTCCATGGCTGCCATCCGCAAGCCATCAGCAAGCCAAGGTTACCTCAGACAAATGCAGCTTTTAGAGCTTGAAAGCACTGAAATGGAAAACTAGGAAAGTGACAGCAACGCCTTTGCTACTGCTGCTGCAGACGTAGAAAACTCAAACTGGACCACAATCCCATCCAGGGCTGCAAAAGGGCAGGGAACATTGTACAGAAGCATCATTGCTTACTGGAGAAAGAGGAAAATGAACAGGCCTTCTCGTGTGAGCAAAACAACGAGCCAACAAACCACAAGATGGAAGTGTCACCCACTCCAGTGTCTAAAGCCCTTGGATGCAATGAGTGATGAATTTTTGGTGTGAAACAGCCCTTGTGCTGAGCACTGTCATGCAGGGAATGATGGAAGTTTGCCTGAAGGTCCCTCAAGAGCCTCCCATTGTGCAGGCTAAATCTCCCTCAACACCTCCTCACTGGCCTTGTGCTGCAACGCCTTGCCCAGCTCCCCTGTCCTTCTGTGCACGTGCTGCAACCCCTCAAGGTCTTTCTGCTGCCCAGGGGCCCACAAGTGCACCCAGCACTGCAGCTGTGGCCGCAGCGCTGCCCAGCACAGGGCCACGCTCACTGCCCTGCTCCTGCTGCCCCACTGCTGCTGACACAGGCCACCATGCCCTGGGCCTTCTTGGCCACCTGGCCACACGCTGCCTCATCCTCAGTGGCTCAAGGCCAGCAGCAACCCTGGCTCCTTTTGGCCCACGCAGCTCCCCAGCCACAAAGGTGCCCATTTCACTTCAGATACAGCAGGCACCATTGTACGATGGCCTTCCTGTTCTGAACAACACAAGACAGCAGTCAAGGACTTGCAGCTTCACCCCCACTGCAGGCTCAGAGGCACTTGCCAAAGCTGCAGACTGCACCAAACTATGCATCAACAGAAACTGGCCGCTTCTGCTTTTGGCCTCGCAAGAAAGCTTCGCGACTCCGCACTTTGTTTCTTTGGCCACGCGGGACAAGAATGGGCCCCCACAGCTGCATGGACCACACAATCCTCCCCTTGCAGCTTATCAAAAGCCAAAGACAGCTGGCCCAAAAGAGACTGTACAAGTGAAGAACTACTCATGGAAAGTGCCGACCGCTTTCACAAGCCAAACCCGCCTTTCCAGAGAGGGAAAACAAACAAACCAAGGCCTGGCACCTCCAGCACTCCCTCCTTTGCCCTTGGCCATAGCACGGCAGAAGCCAAGCGATAGAGCTTCCCTGAGCCAAGCAGCCAGATGCTCTCCCAGAGGCACCAGCCCTTTGCTGCCTCAACATGACAGCTCAAAGGCCAAGTTCTGCGGTCTCTGCCTGGAGGAAATCCCCAGCTCCTGGCAGGACTCCAGCACCCAGCATCCTCAGCCAGCAACAGCAAAGTGCTGGCTGCTCCAAACCTTGCAGCTCTGCCTTGCACTAAAGACAGCACCACACACAACTGGCACTTACACGTTGAGAATATGGTGGTCTGACCACTGATGGAGGCTGGCGCTCATCCACCTCAGTTTGCTCCTCTTTGGCTTCTTCTCCAGGAGCAGCGGGGGCCAGCGGAGAGGCGGCTCTTGCTTCTGTCATCTGTGGCAAGAGAGGAGCATGAGGCACAGGCCATTTCCTATCATGTAGAACCTCATTTCTTTTCAGATCTACCACAACATCTTCTAAGGAAAAAATCATAACATTTCAGAGTGACAGAGGGGTTCTAAATCACAGCCACCAAATTATCATGGGACAATTCAACACCACTCTAGATGGATATGAAGTTGATTTTCCTCCATGGCTGCCATCCGCAAGCCATCAGCAAGCCAAGGTTACCTCAGACAAATGCAGCTTTTAGAGCTTGAAAGCACTGAAATGGAAAACTAGGAAAGTGACAGCAACGCCTTTGCTACTGCTGCTGCAGACGTAGAAAACTCAAACTGGACCACAATCCCATCCAGGGCTGCAAAAGGGCAGGGAACATTGTAGAGAAGCATCATTGCTTACTGGAAAAAGAGGAAAATGAACAGGCCTTCTCGTGCGAGCAAAACAACGAGCCAACAAACCACAAGATGGAAGTGTCACTCACTCCAGTGTCTAAAGCCCTTGGATGCAATGAGTGATGAATTTTTGGTGTGAACCAGCCCTTGTGCTGAGCACTGTCATGCAGGGATTGATGGAAGTTTGCCTGAAGGTCCCTCAAGAGCCTCCCATTGTGCAGGCTAAATCTCCCTCAACACCTCCACCCTGGCCTTGTGCTGCAACGCCTTGCCCAGCTCCCCTGTACTTCTGTGCACACGCTGCAGCCCCTCAAGGTCTTTCTGCTGCCCGGGGGCCCACAAGTGCACCCAGCACTGCAGCTGTGGCCCCAGCGCTGCCCAGCACAGGGCCACGCTCACTGCCCTGCTCCTGCTGCCCCACTGCTGCTGACACAGGCCACCATGCCCTGGGCCTTCTTGGCCACCTGGCCACACGCTGCCTCATCTTCAGTGGCTCAAGGCCAGCAGTAAACCTGGCTCCTTTTGGCCCACGCAGCTCCCCAGCCACAAAGGTGCTCATTTCACTTCAGATACAGCAGGCACCATTGCAAGATGGCCTTCCTGTTCTGAGCAACACAAGACAGCAGTCAAGGACTTGCAGCTTCACCCCCACTCTGGGCTCCAATGCACTTGCCAAAACTGCAGACTTCATCACTACACAGATCAGTAGAAACTTAGCCCTTCTGCTCTTTGCACCTTCTCAAAAGCCAAAAGGCAGTTGGGCCAGCAGTGATTTTACAAGTGAAGAACGACTCAAGGAAACTGCAGCACACTTCCACAAGCCAAACACAACTTTCCAAAAAGGGAAAAGCAAGCAAGAAAGCCTTTGGACCTCCAGCACTACCACGTGAGCCCTTGGCCATTACACCGCAGAAGCCCAGAGATGGAGCTTCCCTGAGCCAAGCAGCCACAAGCTCCGCCGGAGCTGCGAGTTTAACACTGGCCCAACAGGACAGGTCAAAGGCCAATTTCTAGCTCTCACTGCCTGCAGGAAACGGCTACGTCCTGCAGGACTCCAGCACTCAGCATCCTGGGCCAGACACAGCAAGTGCTGGCAGCTCAGAAAGTTGCACCTCTGCCTTGCACTAAAGATGGCGCCTCCCACAACGGGCACTTACTCTCTTGGAATGATGAGGACGTTCTGGTGTGACCACGGCTGAACAAAGGCGGTGGTCATCTTTCTCATTTTCCTCCTCTCTGGCTTCTTCTGCAATAGGAGAGAGAGCCAGGGGAAAGATGGCTCTTGCTCTTCTCACCTGTGGCAAAGAGAGAATCATAGGGACAGGCCGTTACCTAACGCTTATAACCCCATTTCTCTTCGTATCAACAGCCACATCTTCTTAGGAGAAATCATCAACTTTGTTAGCAATGGCATTCAAAGTCACTCCAACCAGACTGAAATGGGCACATTCAATAGAAGAGTATAAGGCTATGAATTCAATATTCCTCCCTGGCTGCCATTTGCAAGCAAGGTTGTCTCTGCAAAAGGCAGCTTTTGGTTCTTGAAAGCTCGGAAATGGAAAAGTAGGAAAGAGCCAGCAAGGCCTTTGCTACTGCTGCAGTAGACAAGGAAAACCAGAAAGGGTTCAGAATCCCTCCCAGTGCCTATAAGCACAGGAAAGTTTGCGCAGAAGCATCCTTGCTTGCTGGAAAAAGAGAAAATGAACAGGCCTTCACCTCCTAGGAAACCCACAAGCCACAAGTTGGGAAGTGTCAGCGACTCCAGTGTCTAAAGCCCTTGGATGCAGTGATGGCATGTTTGGCAGGGAAACAGCCCTTGTGCTGAGCACTGTCATGCAGGGATTGATGGAAGTTTGCCTGAAGGACCCTCAAGAGCCTCCCATTGTCCAGGCTAAAGCTCCCTCAACACCTCCTCCCTGGCCTTGTGCTGCAACGCCTTGCCCAGCTCCCAGTCCTTCTGTGCACGCGCTGCAGCCCCTCAAGGTCTTTCTGCTGCCCAGGGGCCCACAAGTGCACCCAGCACTGCAGCTGTGGCCGCAGCGCTGCCCAGCACAGGGCCACGCTCACTGCCCTGCTCCTGCTGCCCCACTGCTGCTGACACAGGCCACCATGCCCTGGGCCTTCTTGGCCACCTGGCCACACGCTGCCTCATCCTCAGTGGCTCAAGGCCAGCAGCAACCCTGGCTCCTTTTGGCCCACGCAGCTCCCCAGCCACAAATTTGCCCATTTCACTTCAGATACAGCAGGCACCGTTGTACGATGGCCTTCCTGTTCTGAACAACACAAGAGAGCAGTCAAGGACTTGCAGCTTCACCCCCACTGCAGGCTCAGAGGCACTTGCCAAAGCTGCAGACTGCACCAAACTATGCATCAACAGAAACTGGCCGCTTCTGCTTTTGGCCTCGCCAGAAAGCTTCGCGACTCCGCACTTTGTTTCTTTGGCCACGCGGGACAAGAATGGGCCCCCACAGCTGCATGGACCACACAATCCTCCCCTTGCAGCTTATCAAAAGCCAAAAGACAGCTGGCCCAAAAGAGACTGTACAAGTGAAGAACTACTCATGGAAAGTGCCGACCGCTTTCACAAGCCAAACACACCTTTCCAGAGAGGGAAAACAAACAAACCAAGGCCTGGCACCTCCAGCACTCCCTCCTTTGCCCTTGGCCATAGCACGGCAGAAGCCAAGCGATAGAGCTTCCCTGAGCCAAGCAGCCAGATGCTCTCCCAGAGGCACCAGCCCTTTGCTGCCTCAACATGACAGCTCAAAGGCCAAGTTCTGCGGTCTCTGCCTGGAGGAAATCCCCAGCTCCTGGCAGGACTCCAGCACCCAGCATCCTCAGCCAGCAACAGCAAAGTGCTGGCTGCTCCAAACCTTGCAGCTCTGCCTTGCACTAAAGACAGCACCACACACAACTGGCACTTACACGTTGAGAATATGGTGGTCTGACCACTGATGGAGGCTGGCGCTCATCCACCTCAGTTTGCTCCTCTTTGGCTTCTTCTCCAGGAGCAGCGGGGGCCAGCGGAGAGGCGGCTCTTGCTTCTGTCATCTGTGGCAAGAGAGGAGCATGAGGCACAGGCCATTTCCTATCATGTAGAACCTCATTTCTTTTCAGATCTACCACAACATCTTCTAAGGAAAAAATCATAACATTTCAGAGTGACAGAGGGGTTCTAAATCACAGCCACCAAATTATCATGGGACAATTCAACACCACTCTAGATGGATATGAAGTTGATTTTCCTCCATGGCTGCCATCCGCAAGCCATCAGCAAGCCAAGGTTACCTCAGACAAATGCAGCTTTTAGAGCTTGAAAGCACTGAAATGGAAAACTAGGAAAGTGACAGCAACGCCTTTGCTACTGCTGCTGCAGACGTAGAAAACTCAAACTGGACCACAATCCCATCCAGGGCTGCAAAAGGGCAGGGAACATTGTACAGAAGCATCATTGCTTACTGGAAAAAGAGGAAAATGAACAGGCCTTCTCGTGCGAGCAAAACAACGAGCCAACAAACCACAAGATGGAAGTGTCACCCACTCCAGTGTCTAAAGCCCTTGGATGCAATGAGTGATGAATTTTTGGTGTGAACCAGCCCTTGTGCTGAGCACTGTCATGCAGGGATTGATGGAAGTTTGCCTGAAGGTCCCTCAAGAGCCTCCCATTGTGCAGGCTAAATCTCCCTCAACACCTCCACCCTGGCCTTGTGCTGCAACGCCTTGCCCAGCTCCCCTGTACTTCTGTGCACACGCTGCAGCCCCTCAAGGTCTTTCTGCTGCCCGGGGGCCCACAAGTGCACCCAGCACTGCAGCTGTGGCCCCAGCGCTGCCCAGCACAGGGCCACGCTCACTGCCCTGCTCCTGCTGCCCCACTGCTGCTGACACAGGCCACCATGCCCTGGGCCTTCTTGGCCACCTGGCCACACGCTGCCTCATCTTCAGTGGCTCAAGGCCAGCAGTAAACCTGGCTCCTTTTGGCCCACGCAGCTCCCCAGCCACAAAGGTGCTCATTTCACTTCAGATACAGCAGGCACCGTTGTACGATGGCCTTCCTGTTCTGAGCAACACAAGACAGCAGTCAAGGACTTGCAGCTTCACCCCCACTCTGGGCTCCAATGCACTTGCCAAAACTGCAGACTTCATCACTACACAGATCAGTAGAAACTTAGCCCTTCTGCTCTTTGCACCTTCTCAAAAGCCAAAAGGCAGTTGGGCCAGCAGTGATTTTACAAGTGAAGAACGACTCAAGGAAACTGCAGCACACTTCCACAAGCCAAACACAACTTTCCAAAAAGGGAAAAGCAAGCAAGAAAGCCTTTGGACCTCCAGCACTACCACGTGAGCCCTTGGCCATTACACCGCAGAAGCCCAGAGATGGAGCTTCCCTGAGCCAAGCAGCCACAAGCTCCGCCGGAGCTGCGAGTTTTACACTGGCCCAACAGGACAGGTCAAAGGCCAATTTCTAGCTCTCACTGCCTGCAGGAAACGGCTACGTCCTGCAGGACTCCAGCACTCAGCATCCTGGGCCAGACACAGCAAGTGCTGGCAGCTCAGAAAGTTGCACCTCTGCCTTGCACTAAAGATGGCGCCTCCCACAACGGGCACTTACTCTCTTGGAATGATGAGGACGTTCTGGTGTGACCACGGCTGAACAAAGGCGGTGGTCATCTTTCTCATTTTCCTCCTCTCTGGCTTCTTCTGCAATAGGAGAGAGAGCCAGGGGAAAGATGGCTCTTGCTCTTCTCACCTGTGGCAAAGAGAGAATCATAGGGACAGGCCGTTACCTAACGCTTATAACCCCATTTCTCTTCGTATCAACAGCCACATCTTCTTAGGAGAAATCATCAACTTTGTTAGCAATGGCATTCAAAGTCACTCCAACCAGACTGAAATGGGCACATTCAATAGAAGAGTATAAGGCTATGAATTCAATATTCCTCCCTGGCTGCCATTTGCAAGCAAGGTTGTCTCTGCAAAAGGCAGCTTTTGGTTCTTGAAAGCTCGGAAATGGAAAAGTAGGAAAGAGCCAGCAAGGCCTTTGCTACTGCTGCAGTAGACAAGGAAAACCAGAAAGGGTTCAGAATCCCTCCCAGTGCCTATAAGCACAGGAAAGTTTGCGCAGAAGCATCCTTGCTTGCTGGAAAAAGAGAAAATGAACAGGCCTTCACCTCCTAGGAAACCCACAAGCCACAAGATGGGAAGTGTCAGCGACTCCAGTGTCTAAAGCCCTTGGATGCAGTGATGGCATGTTTGGCAGGGAAACAGCCCTTGTGCTGAGCACTGTCATGCAGGGATTGATGGAAGTTTGCCTGAAGGACCCTCAAGAGCCTCCCATTGTCCAGGCTAAAGCTCCCTCAACACCTCCTCCCTGGCCTTGTGCTGCAACGCCTTGCCCAGCTCCCAGTCCTTCTGTGCACGCGCTGCAGCCCCTCAAGGTCTTTCTGCTGCCCAGGGGCCCACAAGTGCACCCAGCACTGCAGCTGTGGCCGCAGCGCTGCCCAGCACAGGGCCACGCTCGCTGCCCTGCTCCTGCTGCCCCACTGCTGCTGACACAGGCCACCATGCCCTGGGCCTTCTTGGCCACCTGGCCACACGCTGCCTCATCCTCAGTGGCTCAAGGCCAGCAGCAACCCTGGCTCCTTTTGGCCCACGCAGCTCCCCAGCCACAAATTTGCCCATTTCACTTCAGATACAGCAGGCACCATTGTACGATGGCCTTCCTGTTCTGAACAACACAAGACAGCAGTCAAGGACTTGCAGCTTCACCCCCACTGCAGGCTCAGAGGCACTTGCCAAAGCTGCAGACTGCACCAAACTATGCATCAACAGAAACTGGCCGCTTCTGCTTTTGGCCTCGCAAGAAAGCTTCGCGACTCCGCACTTTGTTTCTTTGGCCACGCGGGACAAGAATGGGCCCCCACAGCTGCATGGACCACACAATCCTCCCCTTGCAGCTTATCAAAAGCCAAAAGACAGCTGGCCCAAAAGAGACTGTACAAGTGAAGAACTACTCATGGAAAGTGCCGACCGCTTTCACAAGCCAAACACACCTTTCCAGAGAGGGAAAACAAACAAACCAAGGCCTGGCACCTCCAGCACTCCCTCCTTTGCCCTTGGCCATAGCACGGCAGAAGCCAAGCGATAGAGCTTCCCTGAGCCAAGAAGCCAGATGCTCTCCCAGAGGCACCAGCCCTTTGCTGCCTCAACATGACAGCTCAAAGGCCAAGTTCTGCGGTCTCTGCCTGGAGGAAATCCCCAGCTCCTGGCAGGACTCCAGCACCCAGCATCCTCAGCCAGCAACAGCAAAGTGCTGGCTGCTCCAAACCTTGCAGCTCTGCCTTGCACTAAAGACAGCACCACACACAACTGGCACTTACACGTTGAGAATATGGTGGTCTGACCACTGATGGAGGCTGGCGCTCATCCACCTCAGTTTGCTCCTCTTTGGCTTCTTCTCCAGGAGCAGCGGGGGCCAGCGGAGAGGCGGCTCTTGCTTCTGTCATCTGTGGCAAGAGAGGAGCATGAGGCACAGGCCATTTCCTATCATGTAGAACCTCATTTCTTTTCAGATCTACCACAACATCTTCTAAGGAAAAAATCATAACATTTCAGAGTGACAGAGGGGTTCTAAATCACAGCCACCAAATTATCATGGGACAATTCAACACCACTCTAGATGGATATGAAGTTGATTTTCCTCCATGGCTGCCATCCGCAAGCCATCAGCAAGCCAAGGTTACCTCAGACAAATGCAGCTTTTAGAGCTTGAAAGCACTGAAATGGAAAACTAGGAAAGTGACAGCAACGCCTTTGCTACTGCTGCTGCAGACGTAGAAAACTCAAACTGGACCACAATCCCATCCAGGGCTGCAAAAGGGCAGGGAACATTGTACAGAAGCATCATTGCTTACTGGAAAAAGAGGAAAATGAACAGGCCTTCTCGTGCGAGCAAAACAACGAGCCAACAAACCACAAGATGGAAGTGTCACCCACTCCAGTGTCTAAAGCCCTTGGATGCAATGAGTGATGAATTTTTGGTGTGAACCAGCCCTTGTGCTGAGCACTGTCATGCAGGGATTGATGGAAGTTTGCCTGAAGGTCCCTCAAGAGCCTCCCATTGTGCAGGCTAAATCTCCCTCAACACCTCCTCACTGGCCTTGTGCTGCAACGCCTTGCCCAGCTCCCCTGTCCTTCTGTGCACACGCTGCAGCCCCTCAAGGTCTTTCTGCTGCCCAGGGGCCCACAAGTGCACCCAGTACTGCAGCTGTGGCCCCAGCGCTTCCCAGCACAGGGCCACGCTCACTGCCCTGCTCCTGCTGCCCCACTGCTGCTGACACAGGCCACCATGCCCTGGGCCTTCTTGGCCACCTGGCCACACGCTGCCTCATCCTCAGTGGCTCAAGGCCAGCAGCAACCCTGGCTCCTTTTGGCCCACGCAGCTCCCCAGCCACAAATGTGCCCATTTCACTTCAGATACAGCAGGCACCTTTGCAAGATGGCCTTCCTGTTCTGAGCAACACAAGACAGCAGTCAAGGACTTGCAGCTTCACCCCCACTGCAAGCTCAGAGGCACTTGCCAATGCTGCAGACTGCACCAAACTATGCATCAACAGAAACTGGCCGCTTCTGCTTTTGGCCTCGCAAGAAAGCTTCGCGACTCCGCACTTTGTTTCTTTGGCCACGCGGGACAAGAATGGGCCCCCACAGCTGCATGGACCACACAATCCTCCCCTTGCAGCTTATCAAAAGCCAAAAGACAGCTGGCCCAAAAGAGACTGTACAAGTGAAGAACTACTCATGGAAAGTGCCGACCGCTTTCACAAGCCAAACACACCTTTCCAGAGAGGGAAAACAAACAAACCAAGGCCTGGCACCTCCAGCACTCCCTCCTTTGCCCTTGGCCATAGCACTGCAGAAGCCAAGCGATAGAGCTTCCCTGAGCCAAGAAGCCAGATGCTCTCCCAGAGGCATCAGCCCTTTGCTGCCTCAACATGACAGCTCAAAGGCCAAGTTCTGCGGTCTCTGCCTGGAGGAAATCCCCAGCTCCTGGCAGGACTCCAGCACCCAGCATCCTCAGCCAGCAACAGCAAAGTGCTGGCTGCTCCAAACCTTGCAGCTCTGCCTTGCACTAAAGACAGCACCACACACAACTGGCACTTACACGTTGAGAATATGGTGGTCTGACCACTGATGGAGGCTGGCGCTCATCCACCTCAGTTTGCTCCTCTTTGGCTTCTTCTCCAGGAGCAGCGGGGGCCAGCGGAGAGGCGGCTCTTGCTTCTGTCATCTGTGGCAAGAGAGGAGCATGAGGCACAGGCCATTTCCTATCATGTAGAACCTCATTTCTTTTCAGATCTACCACAACATCTTCTAAGGAAAAAATCATAACATTTCAGAGTGACAGAGGGGTTCTAAATCCCAGCCACCAAATTATCATGGGACAATTCAACACCACTCTAGATGGATATGAAGTTGATTTTCCTCCATGGCTGCCATCCGCAAGCCATCAGCAAGCCAAGGTTACCTCAGACAAATGCAGCTTTTAGAGCTTGAAAGCACTGAAATGGAAAACTAGGAAAGTGACAGCAACGCCTTTGCTACTGCTGCTGCAGACGTAGAAAACTCAAACTGGACCACAATCCCATCCAGGGCTGCAAAAGGGCAGGGAACATTGTACAGAAGCATCATTGCTTACTGGAAAAAGAGGAAAATGAACAGGCCTTCTCGTGCGAGCAAAACAACGAGCCAACAAACCACAAGATGGAAGTGTCACCCACTCCAGTGTCTAAAGCCCTTGGATGCAATGAGTGATGAATTTTTGGTGTGAACCAGCCCTTGTGCTGAGCACTGTCATGCAGGGATTGATGGAAGTTTGCCTGAAGGTCCCTCAAGAGCCTCCCATTGTGCAGGCTAAATCTCCCTCAACACCTCCTCCCTGGCCTTGTGCTGCACCCCCTTGCCCAGCTCCCCTGTCCTTCTGTGCACGCGCTGCAGCCCCTCAAGGTCTTTCTGCTGCCCAGGGGCCCACAAGTGCACCCAGCACTGCAGCTGTGGCCCCAGCGCTGCCCAGCACAGGGCCACGCTCACTGCCCTGCTCCTGCTGCCCCACTGCTGCTGACACAGGCCACCATGCCCTGGGCCTTCTTGGCCACCTGGCCACACGCTGCCTCATCTTCAGTGGCTCAAGGCCAGCAGCAACCCTGGCTCCTTTTGGCCCATGCAGCTCCCCAGCCACAAAATTTCCTAAATTACTTCAAATACACCAGGCACCATTACAAGATGTCCTTGTTTTTCTACAGCTGCATCTTCTAAGGATATAGCATTAAATTTCTCAGAGTGGAATTCTCAGTCACGCTGACTAATTTGAAATCGGCTAATTCTACGCTGTAGGAAATTGCTCTTAGTTCAGTATTCCCCTCTAGGTGCTGTCTAGAAGCGACATTCTGTCAAACTGAGTTTATATTTCTTCAGGGCTCTGAGATGGAAAGTAGGAACTATCCACATTAGGCCCATGTTATTTTTGTTGAAGGCATGAAAATGGATTTTCTTTTGGCCTCCCTCTACACTCTACTGCTACTGGCCAAGCTGACAGCTGAGTCCATAATTTCTCAACACCAGGAACAAAATCTCACTCACCTCAGGATCAACTCCACTGAATACACGCTTCAGGTGACCTGTAGTGGGCAATGGAAAATGAA